ATATAGCAAAAACATTCATTGTCCATTCAGTTATTTCTTGAGCCAGACAAATTTCAAACTCCTTCAAATGCCATTGTTCAGTTAGACACGGGTGTACACCTTCCCTGACATACATAGTTTACAATAGATGCTAAAATTGCAGCCACCACTTTAGCAGGGGGAGGTCTATCTTGCTTGAAAATGGAAGAATTTAATTTTGTTGTTTCTTTAAAAGGAATCTGTCACTTCCTCCAGGCAAGGTGGCCAAGCTGTGAAACATGAATTGCTCCCCTGAGGAAAGTGTGCTAGACTTGCGAATGAATGCTAACCCTGTTATTAGGAGAAATTGTTCAATCCACAAGGCAAACATATGGACTTTTAACAGCAGTGCATTCATGTGTAAAGCCAGATACAGTTCTTAGGTGGGAAAAGGCATAGATCCCACCAGCTTTCCCTTTGCAGTTATGTCAGTTGGCTTGCCATCTCCATGATCCATCAATGATTAAATGACTAACTCACCCTAGTTTTCTTTTTCTCTTTTGTCAGCTCCCACCCTGAAGTCACCAGATTTTTTCTGATCTTAGAAGCTAAATAGAGCAAGCCTTTGTTAGTATTTGGAGGAGAGAACGCAAAGGAATATGAGGTGCTATGACTATATTTCAGAGGAAGGAAACGGCAAAGCCACCACTGAATATACCTTGGTTAAGAAATTCATGTGGTCACCACGAGTTGACAGGTCACGTGAAGGCATATACACACAAGAGATAATTCTAACATATTTGAAAGATTTGGATGTGTAATTCTGCAAATACACTTTCAGATGAATATTCCCCATGTGAATGTCTACGAGCTCAATTACTTACCCATTCCAAAGCACGGGGAGGGGAACATTAATGCATCCATGGGTGAAATAATAATAAAAAATAATAAAATTTTATTTCTACCCTGCCACCATTTCCCCGGAGGGACTCAAGGTGCAAACATATAAACTACAATAAGTACACAACCAATATAATAACAATAAACAATAACAAATCACATCTCATAAAATCCCACTTGTAAAAAATCAATAAAATGCAATAGTAGCTGCAGATATAAATGCACGGGGGGGGGGGGGCATGCATCTTGCTTCTAAGGAGAATCATACTCTGTGCACCATGTTTTCTAATAGAATCACTGTGATTTTTCTTCTTCTGATTAAAATGGTAGCACAATAACAAAAGCACTAGACACAACTCCCACTTCTCTGTGGGTTCTACAGCTTCTACCACCTCCTTGCAGAAGTTTCCCATGGCGCCTGCTATTGTAGGCCTTGTTCTAAGGGAACTTTCTAGTAGTTCTTGATTTACACATTCCCTTTCTCAAAGCTTGTGATCAGATCTGAACTGGATCTGGGAGGAGGCAAAGAATCAGAAGAAATGATTGTCTAATCCCTGTTGTTACCCTGCTTAGCCCTAGCCTCTTGCTTCCTGAGAGCTATATTCACGAAGTCTGCTAAGTTTTGCTTCTGAAATTTAACTAAGGAGCTATTCTGTACTGAACCAGAGAGAATTAGGTTCTTTGGATTTGGCCATGCCTGGATGAGATAATAAATTGTCTTGAACACAGGCTCCCCTCTACTGGCTACATTCAATATTGCACTTGGGAAGAGCTGACGTGACTAGCCTGCTACTCCACATAGGGCAGGGAAGGGATCTCAGGATATGTCTGCCTGTTTGGGAGATGATAGATATGGGGGGACTGCAGGCACACTGAAAACTATCTTTTTGTCAAGCAGCAAGATGCAGCATATCAATCATGATATTAATGCTATTTTGGTCACCTCAAATTATAGGTTGTCCACAGAATGGTTTTGGTTAAAGCTGGCAACGCTCTACTTGCCTGCAGAAATACTATGTGTTTCTTTTGACACCCTGCACCAGAGGATAGAAGCCCCTGGCGGTGCAATGGGTTAAACCCTTGTGCCAGCAGGACTGAAGACTGACAGGTCGGAGGTTCAAATCTGGGGAGAGCATGGATGAGCTCCCCCTGTCACCTCCAGTTTCCCATGCGGGGACATAAGACAAGCCTCCCACAAGGATGGCAAAACATCAAAACATCCAGGTGTCCTCTGGGCAACATCCTTTCAGACGGCAATTCTCTCACACCAGAAGCGACTTGCAGTTTCTCGTCGCTCCTCTCTCTCTCTCTCTCTCACACACACACACACAAAACCCCAGAGGCTATGCCAAAAGAAGCAATAATACAACTAGCTAATGAACACTTTGACTCCAATATGCAAGGATGTTTCACTCTTTTAATTTTTTTTCTTAAGAGGCCTTGATTTAGAGGGTTGGAAAAAAAGCTGGATATACACTATTTACTCGAATGCCTACCTTTTTTGGCTAAATGACCTTGCCAAAATTGGGGTGCACATTATATTTGCATAATATGGTAATCTTAGTGCTGAGTCAAAGAAAAAAGGGGAAGCTGCATTAGGAAGTGCTCCTGGAGCTCCTCTTTGAGGGATGCCACCTCAATGCTATGTAAAACCTGGGATTTGTAGTTTGATGAGGCACCAGTATTGTCAAACTAAAACCCCCTCACATTGAACAAAGGCAATTAAAGTGCATTCATTCTACAGCATAAATAGACCCCAAGGTTTTCTTTTCCATTGCTGGAAGCTTTGGTGTCCCTAACACAATTGTTTATAAAGAAGAAACTTATGCGCACATTTTTTGGCCAAATTACAAAGAGTGCACTTTTTGCCACTGCACACTGTATTCAGCAACAAATCCCTTTTTTGGTTTCAGAGTTTTGAAAAATGAGGTGCACATTAGATTTGGTGGCACATTAGACTCAAGTAAATACAGGTAATTTTTTCACACATAACATACAGAGCTATTAAGGCCAAGAGGCAGAAGAACAGGGAAAAGAAGAGCAAAGGAGGTGAAGGAGCTAGAAAAGACTGCCCCTCCAAGAAATAGTGTAGGTCTGCTCTCGGAGCAACTTCACATTCAGTGCTTATGTGCTGAATCCAAAGCCGTTGTCCAGATAGCTTGGGACTGCATCTATCCCACTGGGCTGTCACTGCCTTTGTGTTGCTGCCGATCCCAGCTGGCCATGGAGTTCCAACTAAGCTCCTAAATCTTGTGGATCCCTCTGCTGATGTCAAAATGGGTTGCCCCTGTGACCAGAAAGAAAGAAAGAGGGGGTGATATTTTGTCCTTGCTGGCTGAGCAGGTGCCTTGTTCTGACATCAGCAGAAGTCAATGTCAGGAGCTCTGATGAAGGAGTTTTTTTTACCAATCCATCCCTTTTTCTGTAATAGGAGGTGTACAATCTGGACAGTGGATCAGACCAAACTGAATCAGACTCAGCTGTCCAAATTGCCCCAAAGCTGTGGGATATCCTGGGGTTTCTGGCCAACTGTGAAGCATCTCCCAACTTTTCCAAAAGCAGGGCAAAATTGGAGTGTGTGTGACTCACTGTACATCATGAAGACATGCAATGGGATCTATTCATGGTGAGGCTGAGGATTTGGCCCAATGCTGACAAACCTTGTGACTTAAAAGGAAGTCTGGAGTTGAGGAGGAATAATCAATCACAAATATTAAGGAAAAAAATATGGTCAACTATAGTCTCTTACTTTTGGGAAGATTTAAACCAGATTTGTTTCAACATTAAAGTATATTCCTTCAAGTCACCTGTCAACCTACGGTGATCCCAAGAATTTTGTAGAGATTTCTTAACCAAAGAATGCCCAGAGGTGGTTTGCTTCTGAAGTACAGCCAACATCACTTCATATTCTCTGGTAGTCTGCACACTTGACAGGGGGAAAAGAAACAAGGCTTTGGCCAGAATCCAAAGTGTGTTTTAAGTCTCCTTTTCAGTTGTACTTCTCTTTATACCTTCTGTGCTTCCTGTAGGTCCAGTGATTCTCAACCTGTGGGTCCCCGGATGTTTTGGCCTACAATTCCCAAAAATCCCAGTCAGGTTATCAGTTGTTAGGATTTCTGGGTGTTGAAGGCCAAAACATCCAGGGACCCACAGGTTGAGAACCACTGCTCGAGTCCAAGGGACTGCATATAAGAGTGCCCTCCCACGCATAACAAAGGGCTGCTGCTAAAAGGAAAGATAATTCATCCTCCATACATACATGGAAATGCTTTCCATCTGTGCACAAGGTGGTTTAGAACACAAACAATTTTAAATGTCAGTTAGTAAGAAAATGGAGTCGTAGCATTTTTTAAACAAAGATTACAAAATTGATTTTTTTTATTGTCACACAAGATGCACTTATAAAATCCATACAGAATGTCATTTTACAGGGGAAAAATAATTCCAAGCTTCTTTTGAGCAACAATTAAACGAAAATTAAATTACAACAAATTCACCAATGTTTTTTGAATTCAATATTAATTTATGAGATTTTCTCAAAAATGAATGCCCATCTGAAATGATAATTTTTGTAGATCTGGAATTTGGCTTTCAAGATCTTATTTGCACAACATTTCCAACTTTGGCCACTTCACCAAGCTGAAAGGAAAGGAAACCATGGGCTGGGGGTGAGGAGAGAAATGGCCCTTTTTGATCAGAGAACTTAATTCCATCTTTGAAGCTTCTTCACAAGGATATAATTTCTGTACACTGATTTTTTTTATCTTGGCAGTAGCTTTGGCAGCTTTGAGAGACAAACATGTATTTTGAAAGCCATTTCTTAATTTATTAATTTTTTACTTGGCCATTCTGTAAAGGCAACAGATGAACTTTCGAAGTTCTGCTGATTATTTTCAGCATAAATAATGTTTAAAGCAGAGCAAGTAAGCACCTTCAGGGGAACACGTTGTCTGACTCCTGCTCCAGTCCTGTCTGAGGTCTTTGCCAGCTTCTCACGCCCTATGCACCTCAAGTAAAACTATTTTATACTTCAAAACCCAAGCACTTCCTAAGAGTACAATCATTCTACCTAATGTCTGCTTAACATCCAACACCAATAATCAGGCTCTCATTTGCTTTTTGTCAATTTGTAGCAGTTTAAAAAAAATCTTAATTGATTCAACAAAACAACACAAATAACACATCCTCTCTATTTCATTGCAGTTAAAACATTTTTAAGTGCCAAAGTGCAATCCCACAAGTTGGTATGACCCTTCCTCCCCACAAGCTTGTACACTTTATACATCTCAAGACTTCTACATTTCAAGTACAAAGAAAACTAAGCAAAGGGGAAAACACTGTTTTGCTTATTTATCATTCATGTCCCATTATCTTGTTTTGTGATCAAATTCTGGCTATGATGTAATATTTAAGACAAAATATATTATGCAATAATCATTAAAGAATCATTTATTTGAATTATTGGAAATCTTTCAATGTCAAGAATCCTTTGTTATTAATTCTACTCAAAGTTTGAAAAAGACACGGCAGAGTTTGAAATCCTTTTGCAGCTGCTTATGAAAGAAAGTGTGTGTGGGGAAAAAAGCTTCTTTTTAAGGTTGCAAAGATTATCCAAAGTTTTCCTTATAATGAAGGTATTTTGATGAAAAGAGATTATGCTCCAGAAGCACAGACTGGTACAGCAGAAATGGATTTAAATATATTTCACACATTCATTCCAGGAAAGTGATGTCGTAGCTTTGTCAAATTGTAGACCTCTCTAAAAAACCATCATTTTTTTAAAAAAAAAATCCAGGTTAAATTGCTGAAACATGACCACTTTATCCAGCCAAGTTATTCATTGTGATAGGCTTGCCATTAATAACTTAAAGTTTAAAATAAATATTGAAACACCTACTGGCGTCTGTCATTCTTGGTAGCATTTGCTGTCCCAACAGTTCAGTATCTTAAGCACATTCATTTACAAAAGTCTAGTCAATTCTGTTGCCACATATTGTAAACCTGTCTATCTCCAACAAATCCTTCTTTGTAGATCTATGTTTTGATTCTGAATTGTCCTGGGTTATATCTTTCTCATCTCCATCAGGAGTTGTCAGAAACTGATCAGAGTTGCTAGTCACAAGTTGTGGCACTACACTTTCATTCTGGTGCACAGGTTGACTGGTCACTGAAGAAGGCAACTTTTCATCTGAAAAAAAAAACAAAACAAAAAACAAAAACCAGAAATTAACACTTTAAACAAGAGGAAAATACACTGATTATTGGGCACGAAGGTTCTTGTAAAGCTTCAGGGGCATGGAAGTTAAAGTATATCCAGTAGTCATGGGCCTGGTATTTGTCTCATTTGTTTCGTTCCCGTTTTCATTTTGTACCGCTCATTTGGATGGTACAAAATGGTACACCCCTTTTTGGTACGGAAAAAAACAGTGAAACAAAAGGAAAGTAGGAATAGAAACTGTTTGGTCGCCTGCTCTTCAGACCACTGAACTCTGCCTGTCAGGCCAATCGGCGGAGAAGAACGCCCTCCACCTTGCCTGCTGCCTGCCTCGCCTCGCCTACCACTGCTCTACAGACTGAGGGGAAAGCATCATATGTGGTATCTTAAGTCCCATCTTTAGCCTCACTTATCTTCTGCAAATGGAGAGTTAAACTTTTCAGAATTAGTGGAAACTTAAGTAACTCTGATGCTTTTAATCCAGGTCATAATGAAGGATATAAGTACAAACCATGCCATGTTTTTAAGGAGATTTTATTTATAAAAAGAAGAAAAATCCTAAAAATGGGGGGGGGGGGATCCTAAAAACTTGATGGGCAAAAAGTAGTAGATCTGCTCTCCGTGTGTGGCAATTTCCCCCCATCTAGCCCTAAAACTGAGGGGAAGGGGAGCCTGTGAAGGACGCCTGTGTTGGCCAATGGTCTGAAAACTTTCACCCTTTTGGATGCTAAATGATCTTCTTGCGGTCCAAGGCACTCAGAATTTTCCTCCAACACCACAGTTTAAAAGCATCGATCTTCTTTCACTCAGCTCTCACATCCATAGGTTACTATGGGGAATACCATTGCTTTAACTATGTGGATCTTCATTTACAGTGTGATTTGCCTAACTTGCTTCAGTCTATTTCTATTGCTGGAAACATATTGCTGGACTAGACTGGCTCTCCAAGGCATTCAAACTGCTCTTCACAACCATGGCAATTCGTGTCCTGATTGCACAATAAGCCATACATTCCTAACCTCTTCTTAAAGAAGATAAAAACCCAAGCCTATTTATCCTGTTTCTTTTTCCAGGTCTCTTCTGGGAAAGCTGAACTTTTTCCCAATGCTACCAGTTATTTAAACAGAAAATGAAGGTCAGATTAATACTGAAGACAACATTTTAGGGGTTACATGGACCTCAGCAGTTTCCTGCGAACTAGAATTTCTGGGCCCAAAAAACCCCCAAAGCTGAACTTTGCAGTAAACATGGGCTATAATGGCATTGAAATACAGCAACACGGTCCCACTAACCTTGGCTGGACTTGTACTTGCTTTGTGGTTTACCAAGAGGTTTGCCTGGGGTGCCGGCAGGAGGAGGGTTAAACAACTTCTCTTCCATGTTTGCTTCTTTGACATATTGGCACGATTTCCCCAAAAGCACAATGCTGTTAAGTACTTTGAGAGATATTAACCTGAAAAAGACACATGCAGGATTGGATTCCATGTCCTGAGAAGAAACGTCTCAGTCTCTTCCATTAAAAAAAGCCTAGCTCTAGACTAGCTATTGAAAATTGGTTCTATTTTTATTCCTATCCTAAGTATCCTGCCATCAAGAAAATTACCACTATCAAAACCTTACAGTACTAATGGGCTACATATAACATTATTACAACACTGTGTGGGTGTTCTAGAAATGAAGATAGTACAAAGTGCACTTTTCATATTTTAAAACAATTAAGAAAAAGAACATTTAGAACAAGATTTCTATAGAAATGAACTGATACCTTTCTAGGTTTTAGCACTTGCGCATGCAGAAAAACCAACTGAACTACATGTAGAGTTTGTTTCCAAAAGGTAGTAAATTCCAAAATATTGAAAAATGAGATATTGGTGGTGGCATATTGATGGCAAGCAATAGAATATGGACTGATCAAAACTATCAAATCACTTTGCCACAGGATCCAGAAAATTACATTTTTTAACAAAATAGTGCATATCCTCAGCACATTGTATTTTTTCTGTAAAATTTGTTCTGATAAATTTTGGTAAAGTACTTTGACCAAGATGGCAGGAGAAAACAGAAGACCTTTTACTAGCCCCCAACAGACTAACACTTTATCTGTTTGTCAAATAACATATTATCATCCATGATGGCTTCCTTCCATATCTGTGACAGAACTGTGGTAAGAAATGATCTTTGGAGAAAATAGCCAATATATTCTCTTCCCAATCCTCAATGATAGCTATGGAAGTCTGCCATATTCATTCTTTGTATTGTTTAAAAAAATCTTGTAACCTTACTTTCTGGATATCCCTCATAATTTATTCTTTCAATTATTTCTATTAAACTGTTAATGTATTATTTCCTTAATATGATTCCATCTTGACTAAAATGCATACAACTGAAGTTAAAATAAGAATAAACTGGATTATTTAAAATACAATGTATTTCTCTTTGAGATATCTTGCAGTGGTGCAAAGGTTGACTGTCCCGCATATACTTTGCCTTTCTGTGAACATATGTTTTGTTCTTATATTTTGTTCTTCACATTTTTATCAATATAAATTCAGAAAAACATTTCATGAATATTCATATTTGCACTTACCCGCAATAGAAGAGAACAACACAGGCATAAGCCAAGACTCCCTGTACTTTTACGGAACTTGTAACCACTCTGATGAGCTAGAAAGGAAAGTATTTCTTAAGACCATAGATTGTACTCTGAACAGTTGTTAAAAAAATTTGCAAAGAGGAGTAACCACTGAAGACTAAAACAAATACAAAAGCAGTTCTCATTACAGGTTGACTCTCCCTTATCCAAAATGCTTGGGGTCAGTTTTTCAGATTTCAGATTTTTTGTAATTTTTAGAATACCCTTTTTGGAAAATACATATTGAATGAGGGATGGGTAAAAAAGGGCTAAATGAATATCCAGCATTCACTGAGTTTTCTCAAGGAAATTTTGTCAGAAATCTAGTGGAAGAAGGGGAAGGAAGGAGGACTCAGGGCCCCGCAGCTTACACAAAACTCCTTTAGAAACTAGACACAAAAGAAGGGAAAAGTCAAAATGCACCCAGCTGCCATGAGCTGTAGGAACATTGGAAATCTCCAGAGGCCCAGCCAATCCCTATTCTGCTCTACATCTTTGGCTAGGCAGAAGTGGTGTGTAGTATGGATTGGGCTGGCAATAGGCTGGTGCACAGATTCGATTTTGTTTGGTTCCCTTTTGCCAATCTGGCTTGTTTGGTTGGCTGTAAAAGTAAGGGCTCAGCCACCTTTTTTTTTTTTGCCAAAACGGGCCATGTGGCATCCAGTCACGGCTCCTCCTCTCCAATTTGGCATCACATCGCATGAGAAAAGGCTTCTGCATGCTCACACGGGGTTTCCTCATGAGCCCTGACTGTTGGGCCAAAGACAATCCTGCATCGCCTGCCCCACACAGGTCACCAGTTCCTTTTCCCTTGTTTGGCCAGACTTAGAAAGGGCAGGGTGGCCAGCAAACCACTCCACTCCACTCCTGGGCCCCAGCTGTCCTGAGGTTTTCCTCCTTCTCCCTTCAAAACCTTTCCTTCTTTAGGAGACTGATTGTCTCTTTGTGGGATGGGCGGGCATCCACCAGCCCCACGCAGGCCACCAGCTCCTTTTCCCCTTGTTTTGCCAGCTGCTAGACTTAGAAATGGTGGGGTGGCCAGCTAACCACTCTGCCTCTGACCTGAAGTCATCCTTCTCCCCTTGTCCCTAAGCCCTTCTATTGCCCTTTTTTGGGGGCTCCTGCCTCCTTGCCTTTCTGAATCAGTGAAGCTAACGACCTGCTCTGAACTGCTAAGTGTTAAAATAATACGCCCCAAAAACGTGCCCCCCAAAATGGCTAAATTTCCCACAATACATTTTGATTTTTCCCCCCAGTGTGTTTTTCTAATAAGGCGACAATGCTTGTTTGCGGTTGCTGCTGGCCTCTTCCAGTATGTTTTGTGAGAACAAGAAATGCAAAAGGTTTGGAAGAAGTTGCTTACTGTTGTCTGTTTTTATTAGTAAATAAGAAAGTGTAATAGTGGGGCACCGAGCTGTGTGATGTGGAAGTGCATCTTTGACATTTGGCCAGAAGGAATGGTGCCTTGCTGCTTATTTCTATAAAGAAAATAAATTCCTAAAAATTAGGAGATGACCCAAACATTATGAATCTTGGTGCGGTTACAGTGGTAAATGTGTTCCCCAAGTGTGGCCATTTTCATCCCAACAGCCCTAAAAATATTGAGAAGGGGAGCCTGGAAACCCCCAATTGCCACCAATGGACCACATCTAGCCACATTTTTGGCTGTGGACAAAAAAATGGCTAATTGTCAACCCACCCATTTTCGGGAGGCATTCTCAAAATTTGGCCAGCAAAAACCAGATGGAGGTTCAGCTGAAATGCAGAAGCCTAGCTGGTACTGGGATGCATTTGGAATATTCCCGCCCCTTCTCTTTTCCCTGTCAATTTTTTTATGGTGTTGAAGTGAGAGCACCTTGAGGAAAACCTCAGTAGGCACTGGATGTATAAGTAGCCCCCTTTCCTCAAAGGTGGAAGGGACAGCAAAAATCTTAGGTTTGGGGAGTCTTTTGGATTGCTGGAAAATAAACTCCCAACTTATATGTAAATGACTATATAAAACTTGTATAAAAAAAAACCCTATATAAAGTTACTATTTGCAATTGTCAGAATGATCTTCCTCCAGATCATTAAATCATCCTCAGTACCTTTAAATACCTATCTAATACTGTAAAGTTCAGCTCTGCTAATAACTCTTGATAAGAGGCATTTCTGGTTAAGGTATTAAGACAAGTGTCAGAGAAAGACAAATGAAAAGTGGTGGCAAGCTGTACCACAGTAGAAAAAAAATCTCATAACACTTAAGTATCAGTAACTCTTACATTTGCATTAGGCCCATGAATGCGGTTCACTGGAATAAAAATACTGGCCACGACAGAAGATTATTTCCCCTCACATCTTTGAATTGACCAACAATTGTCCTGCTTTCCATCTACAAGAACAGCTCCTTCTCTGCCACTCTGAAAACTATCGTATATATCCAACTATAAGCCGACTCGAATATAAGCTGAGGCACCTAATTTTACCACAAAAACTGGGAAAACATATTGACTCAAGTATAAGCCAAGGGTGGGAAATGCAGCAGCTACTGATAAATTTCAAAATAAAAATAGATACCAATAAAATTATATTAACTGAGGCATCAGTAGGTGAAATGTTTTTGAATATTTACATAAAACTTTAATTATGTAAATGTAATAATAATAATAATAATAAATAGAGTAAAATAATACATGTAATAGAAATAATTATAATAACAGAGTAAGATAATAAATAACTTTGACTTTTTAAAGGCCTTTTCATCCTGAAAAAGGGCTGAAAAACTTTGCTTATACTCAAGTATATATGGTGCTTTTTTTACGGAGGAATATTAAAACCTCTTGTGAAGAAATAGGGAAATGCTTAGGAAGTGCTTAATTAAAACGACTACATCTTTTTTTGCCATAGGGATGTAGTACCTAAGTTTTTCCATTAGCACAACTAATATTTCTGCAACTTATACTTTCAATTATTTCTGTGTAAATAGGCATGTTCCTATTTCTTTACCACGCATGACCAAAGGCAAATTATCAGTGGAACCTACATTGAAAGACATATTTCAAAGGTCAATTTGCTGTAAAGTCCACAGATACTTTATTGTTAAAATGCAACAAAGTTGAGCATGTAACTTTTACTCTGGTATTTACTTTGTAATGCCTGGATAAATGGTTCAGCCTGAGTTTATCTCACACAGATTCCCCCTGCAGAGATATTAATTCAAAGATTCAGAAAAAAATACATAGTGTTTTGGAACTTTGGTGCAGGTTTCCCCCCACTAGCAACTGAGGGATTTTGTAATGTGACAACAAATATATGACTTACTAAAACAGCCAGTGGGAGCGGAATAAAACCCATTCTTCTGGAAACGGAGTCACTATAATCTGTGTATGCCTGGGGGAAAAGAACTGAACCTGAGCTTTAAAAATATAGGAGCGGAAAATGAAAGTAAAAGAAGTTCCACTGCAATTAGTCACACATTTTAGATAGCATCAGCTGTTGCTAAAGGAGAGGGCAGGCTATAGCAGGGATGGGTAAGTAATGCAGGGTGTTTTCTGCTGATAAGCTATGTCCATCCAGTTTTGTTTTTCCTTCCCACAGCCGTTCCAGCAGGTTGGAGTAAATAGGAAGTTGGGTCACCCCAAGTGGTCTCCCAATAAGCCAGCAGTTTCTTGCCTCCTCCTTTGGCTGTTTCCCTGCCAGCTACTCAGTTACAGGCACTTTTTATAAGTTCCAGGCAATATTAAGGATTTATTATCCTTGTTTTCATTTTCCTCCCCTCTTTTTTTTGCCTTTTTGCTATCTGTCTTTTTAGATAACATCTTGAGGGCAGGGTCCACCTTGTTTAAATCTTTAAAAACATTTCTAGGGGAAAATGTTTTTAAAATTCTTAAAACGTGCAAGCCACTGACAGCTTTTCTAAAAAAGCAATAAATGCAATACATACATGCTATTTTGGAAAAGAAGAAAAACATATTTTAACTAGGCTTGCAGGTGGATATATATCTTTGTGGAAGGAGCCCCTGGTGGCACAATGGGTTAAACCCTTCTGCCAGCAGGACTAAAGACCGACAGGTCAGAGGTTCGAATCCGGGGAGAGCATGGATGAGTTCCCTAGGTCAGCTCCAACTCCCCATGCGGGGAAATGAGAAAAGCCTCCCACAAGGATGGTAAAACATCAGGGAATCCCCTGGGCAGTGCCCTTGCAGATGGCCAATTCCCTCACACCAGAAGCGACTTGCAGTTTCTCAAGTCGTTCCTGACATGAAAAAAAAAAACTTGGTGAAATTAATGGAATTTAAATTTATAAAGGAAGATCAAGTCTTTGGGGAAAATTCACCTTGATTTGGGGGAGTTGTAGTTTACCTACATCAATAGAGCACTGTGAACCCAAACAATGATGGATCTGGACCAAACCTGGCACACATACCTGATATGCCAAAAATTGATTACTGGAGGCATTGGGGGGACAGGGGGACGGGGACTGATCTTTTCCCTCATGACTAACTCAACTTATTGGAAGGCTTTGAGGGGGCTGACCCACTATAGTAGTTATAGTTTACCCTACAGCCAGAGAGCACACTGAACCCCACCAATGATGCATCTAGAGCAGTAGTTCTCAACCTGTAGGTTCCCAAGTGTTTTGGCCTGTTGTTGATCATTCGTTCAGTCGTCTCCGACTCTTCGTGACCTCATGGACCAGCCCACGCCAGAGCTCCCTGTCGGCTGTCACCACCCCCAGCTCCTCAAGGTCAGTCCAGTCACTTCAAGGATGCCATCCATCCATCTTGCCCTTCGTCGGCCCCTCTTCCTTTTGCCTTCCACTTTCCCCAGCATAATTGTCTTCTCTAGGCTTTGCTGTCTCCTCTTGATGTGGCCAAAGTACTTCAACTTTGTCTCTAGTATCCTTCCCTCCAGTGAGCAGCCGGGCTTTATTTCCTGGAGGATGGACTGGTTGGATCTTCTCGCAGTCCAAGGCACTCTCAGAACTTTCCTCCAACACCACAGTTCAAAAGCATCTATCTTCCTTCGCTCAGCCTTCCCTAAGGTCCAGCTCTCACATCCGTAGGTTACTACAGGGAATACCATGGCTTTGACTATGTGGATCTTTGTTGCCAGTGTGATGTCTCTACTCTTTACTATTTTATCGAGATTGGATATTGCTCTCCTCCCAAGAGGTAAGCGTCTTCTGATTTCCTGGCCACAGTCTGCATCTGCAGTAATCTTTGCACCTAGAAATACAAAGTCTGTCACGGCCTCCACGTTTTCTCCCTCTATTTCCCAGTTGTCAATCATTCTTGTTGCCATAATCTTGGTTTTTTTTATGTTTAGCTGCAACCCAGCTTTTGCGCTTTCTTCTTTCACCTTGATTAGAAGGCTCCTCAGCTCCTCCTTGCTTTCGGCCATCAGAGTGGTGTCATCTGCATATCTGAGGTTGTTAATGTTTCTTCCAGCAATTTTCACCCCAGCTTTGCATTCATCAAGCCCCGCACATCGCATGATGTGTTCTGCATACAAGTTAAAAAGGTTGTGAGAGTATGCAGCCTTGCCGTACGCCTTTCCCAATCTTGAACCAGTCTGTTGTTCCGTGGTCAGTTCTTACTGTTGCTACTTGGTCCTTGTACAGATTCCTCAGGAGAGAGACAAGGTGGCTTGGTATGCCCATCCCACCAAGAACTTGCCACAATTTATTATGATCCACACAGTCAAAGGCTTTAGAGTAGTCAATGAAGCAGAAATAGATGTTTTTCTGAAACTCCCTGCCTTTCTCCATTATCCATTATTTTGGCCTGCAAGTCCCCAAAATCTCTGGGAGTGGAAGGTCAAAACATCTGGGGAACCACAAGTTGAGAACCACTGATCTATAGCTAACTTGCCCAACATAACATACTTTTAAGTACTGCTGGAGTTTTTCGGGGTTAACCTGGCATGATGTGAGTTGCAGTTCACCCAAAACCTTATGCATTTTGTACAATAAAAAATGACATTTTCAAATAACCTGGGCAATGCCAGGTAACTAAAATAGTAACAAATAAAGCCCCCATTAGTATATTGGTGAAAAATGTTCTCACAGCTGAAGGAATAGTAAATATTGCAGTAAAGTCTCATAGAGTGTGGATATTTGTGAATAAGATATACCAAAATTCACAAAGAGATCTGAACACAAAAATCCACCAGTCAGTTATGCTCTTTGACTCTTTAAGAGTAATGAATAATGGAAAAGGATGCTGCGGAGAACGACATTTGCAGATAGAATGTTCAGAAAGAAAGTAAATTGTTTTTAATTTAAGATGGCACTTCAAGTAAATCTCTTTATACCTGTACACATAATTGTAATTACCATGGCAAGGTAAGCTTTCCGTAACACCAGACAACCAAGTATTTCCTAATATATGATTGGCTTCTATTTTCAAGAACACAAGTGTAAGAAGTCATTTTCATTATCTCACTTACGTTTTTCTGCCGACTGCTAACAAGGTCAAATGCAAGGCTTGCTCTGTATTCACTGTAAACCTGAGAACAAAACAACCCCCAAAAATTCACATGTTGTTGTTATTAAATAAAATCCTCACTAAAAGCAGTACTGTTGAAAAGATTTACTACAAAAAATAAAATGAAGACTTCCATTTTAGGTCTACATTCCTAATGATCTTCAAACACTCATTCATAGGAGAGCACGTATCAGCAATCAGATTCCTATATTTGAGGTGACAATTCCCATTAAATGAAAAGAGGGCTCCCCTTGCCTATGGGTATATGCCAGTAACTTCCATCAAGGCAAAAAAAAGGAGAAAGGTACAAATGATTCAATACTTGAACTGAATTTCAAATGTGTTTAGCAGATAAATTTGATACTTACATCAGCAGTGATATCATTAAATTTTGTTATAAAAGCATGCTTCACAATGTCCACGGCAATTTCTGATGCAATCACCATACAAACATCTGGAAACAGCACCCAAAGATGGTCTGTAATGATAAGAGAAATATTTATAGAAAGCTGATACGCAGCAAAAAGTAAATGAAAACATGTAAATACATATACTTCAAAGCTTAAAGGCTACAGATTATAAACAATGGAGTACTCAGAAAGAATTCTTGGTGGGTGCCAGTACTGTATTTGAACAGAGAGCTTGTTCTGATAAAAGAAATCATTTCAAAAAATTCCTCACTGACAATGAGCTATAGCTAATGCGGTTTATATACATGGTATATGTCAGAGCAGTTTGTGAGCTCGACTATGTTCTCTTCCACACAGATGAATAAAATCCCACATTTTCTGCTTTGAACTGGAATATATGGTAGTGTGGACTCAGATAACCCAGTTAAAAGCAGATATTATGAGGTTTTCAACCTTGATATTCTGGGTTATATACCTGTGTGGAAGGGCCCTACAAATCTGGAGAGCAGGGTTTGAATCCCCACTCAGTTATAGGTACACATCGGATGGCATCTGGCAAGTCACAATTTCTTAGCTTCAGAGGAAGGTAAAGGTACTCCCCACCCAAGTAACCTTGCCAAGAAAAATAAATGAAATGGTTGCCTTCAGTCAGAAACAACTTGAAGGCACATAACAACAAACAAGTTCACAGAGATCATTTGAAAATTCCAAAATCAGTAGTTAACACTATTTGAACATTTTTATAGGCAAGGTACCACTTTCAAATAATCCTGAACATAGTCTTGTGTGACTTTGGAAGCTGGAATTGGGGTTGATTTTAGAAGCTAGGAAGGAAGATCATCTGAAATAACCAGAGTTTGCCAGATAAGGCTAGGAAAATAATGTGTGTGGTGCTGGCAGTCAACATGCAGTGATGTTTTTCCATTTTTTTTACTTGTTTATTTATATCTGATCCTTCGATTCAGGGAGGGTCACAACAAGCAATCATTAGATGCCAAATAAACAATAGTAATAAAATCACAATTAAAACATTTGTTAAAAACATCAAAATTATAAACATCCATTTAAAAATTAAACAAATCCAAATCCAAAATCATAATCCGAGGTCTGTCCATTATTATCGCTGTGTCTGCTGCTTAAATGCTTGGTCCCACAACCATAATTTAATTTTTTTTTCTAAAGGATAGGAGAGAAGCAGACTTTACCTGGATTCCAGGAAAACTGTTCCATGTTCCTTAAACAAACTATCAGTAGCAGTACATAGTTGGTGAATCTCTCCTTGATGTCTACAAAGAAGAAAATATTTAATTTTTATTTACAAAGATTTCATTTTTCTAGAGAGCGATTATGATAAAGAACCATCAAGAAGACACGGGCACACATCATTAACAATAGGAAGGGGCCATTCTGGCTTCCTGGGAAAAAGGAGGTTCCAGAGTCAAGAGGCAGTCACTGAGAAAGAAGGCCCTCTCTCTCATTCTCATCAACCAAGCTTCAGATGGAGGTGGGATTGAGAGAAGGGCCTCTCCTGAAGATCTCGAAGCCTGGGCTGGTTCGTACAAGGAGATGTGGTCAGCCAAATAACCTGGGCCCGGACCTTCCCCCAGCATCAACTGCTGCTCTGGGCCAGAGTGAAGAGAGAGGAGACCAGGAAGACATTTCCACCTTGTCTCCTGACTTTGTCATCAGCTGGGAGCCTCTCCCCCAGCACCAACTGCTGCTTTGGGCCAGAGTGAAGAGAGAGGGGACCAGGAAGACAGTTCCACCTTTCTCCTGTGCTATGTTAATAATATAATATAATAAATTGTATATACATATATTTAAAACATTATAATTTAATGTAATATAAAACTAATAATAATGCAATATTATAATTATATATTTTTATTACATGTAAATTCCGGCATACTTTGTGTTATGCTGCCTGTCTGCCTTCCTATTGCGCAATATGAATAAACCGCGTTTTGCCCTAACTTGTTTGGACTGTTTCGTGATCCAAAGCGGCCCAGCAAGGGCCCAAATGGTAAGATTTGGGAACACTGGCAAGTTTCCCTTACTGTAATATTACTAATAATATTACAATATAATGGTATAGTACAATATAGTAATATATAATACTGATATTGTGCTATGCTAATAATATAATATATTGTATGTATATATATATCTTGTAAGCCGCTCTGAGTCCCCTTCGAGGGTGGCATATAAATGCCATAAATAAATAAATAAATTTGCTGAAGTCAGAAGTAACTCTATGTATTTTAGTTGCTGTTTTATGAATTTTAATGTGTTATATTTTAAATATGTTTGCCCGGGCTTGCCCCCATGTAAGCTGCCTCGAGTCCCTTCAGGGAGATGGAGGTGGGGTATAATAATAATAATAATAATAATAAGGACCTACTTCTAGACAGTGCGCACAGGATCACAGCTATAATGTTCAGTTTCAGATTCCAGGAATGGAATCTAATGAGCATAGAGGAAAACCTCAGTCTATGGGCATAAGCTGCAGAGTTCTATGGCTATATTTTTGGTATCATACTTCAAGACAGAAAAATCTTTTCCAAAAAGTCAGCTTCTTCCACCAATTAAATGACAATTAAACACAACATTTATATCAAATTCATTCATAGCTGAAAAGACATCAAAAGAATGGATTATCATACCTCACATAATTATACATACCACTATTTGACATCTGAAATAGATTGTTCTTTTCAAACTTCTTGAAGACACTTCCTTTTATTTCAACGAACTGTAATGTGAAGAAAGCAATATTTCCTCACTTTAGATATTTTTTTAAAAAAACCTTTCCATTTAAAATGTATTTTCTAAAAAATGCATTACAATACATATGTTAACAGAAACATTACTGCATCATAATTGCTTTTCAGAAAGATAGAATGTTAAAACCTTTAAGACAAGTATTACATCTATCCAACACTTACGTTGTTAGACATCATGATAGTTAGAAGTGACTTATTGTGGGAATTGAAGGCTACATTGAGTGTTGTTGCTTGGACCATTATAAGGATAGCATGCAAGACTGTAGTCAATTGTGTTAAGGAAAAGAAAATATTAGTCTGCTACACACAGCCTTCTGAATTCTGAGCTACATTCCCTCCCCAAAGCAAGCAAAACAGAACTTATAACATCAATCCCCTAGATTATTCCAAAAATTCTAGTAATTTCTCTTAAGTGCTGATTTTAGTATATTACCAGCTCATTGTATGGTCCCAATATTTCCAAGAGAAGATTCAACAAATGATTACACTGCTGTGCTAACACTGGTGTATATGGATTAGTTACATTAGCGGTGGGTTTTATACATTTCCATTACAGGTTTTGAATCATGTAACAAATTATTCCCTTAACCACACCGATAGCTGATTTTATGTTAGTATAAAAATGCATAAAATAAAGACTTTTAAGTATGACAACCATATATTTTAATTTTAACCCTCATACTATAAAATAAGATCTATATGAAGGGGTTTGTTGGTCTATTTCACAATCTTCCATTAAAAAAACCCCAGTGAGGCTCAAATCAGCTAATGTAAAATGTATTTATTACATTTTAATTTTGCCAATGCTTCATGAGACTGAGAGTGTTATACTCACTCTCATTTCATCCTCCGAACCCTCCCCCCCATGCGGCTTTCGCAGTGGTGCAATGGGTGCCAGCTGAACTGCTGACCTGAAGGTCAGCGGTTTGAATCCACGAGACAGGGTGAGCTCCCGTCTGTCAGCCCCATCTTCCCATGCAGGGGACATGAGAGAAGTCTCCCACAGGATGGTAGCACATCCAGGCATCTCCTGGGCAACGTCTCTGCAGACAGCCAATTCTCTCATACCAGAAGTGACTTGCAGTTTCTCAAGTCACTTCCGACATGATAAATCCTCTAAATGATGTCAGCGATATGTACGGTCTTCTACTGGCCATTTATTTAAACAGTAAACACCATTCTATTGCAAATTTGTTACAGCAGGTACAGCAAATGCTGCACCATCAGGTCTATTGGAGAAAGCCTTTTACAAGAAGGATAATATTGTGTGGGCACAATACTGGCAAAGGAATGGGGATTCTTTGTCAGCATTACCATCACAAGACAAGACCAAATATGGATTCAGTCATACTCATAGGGCCATTTCCCTATTTCAAGCAGCAGGAAACAGTTGCACATCAAGAGAAGCTCAATTGTAACTCAGCTTTTAAACAATAAATAGGATATCTGACAAGACTAGTGGAATTTTCATAGACCAAGTTTACGCAAGACTATATATAAAACTATATACAAAGCATCATCAAGATGATGCACAACACACACACACACACAATATCCCCTGAAAACACATCTATTAATACTTTTGCTTCTTATCTTTAGTACAAGCTAGTGCTATTTCTGTTCATATGTGGTGATTAATGTATATGGATAAGAATTATTTCATGAACCATTTCAGCTTTTTAAAACTTAAATTTTTGGCTCATTTTCACCCGAAAGTCACAAGTGACTTAATAAACATGACAGACACATGGGCCAGTACATTTTTTGTCACCAAGATGTGTAAATGTGTTTATACGGTTAGAATTTAGAAGCCATCTGATAAAAAGGAAATCCATTTTTGTTGTTTTGTGACCTCAAGTTATTTCCTGAGTCCTAATCCAAGACCCAAACCATCACACTGAACCACAAATCTATTAACCACGGTAAAACCAAGCTGTTTTAATTATTGTTTTAGCAAACAAAAATCTATTAGATTCTCTTTTGAAAGAAATTTTTGTTTTTCATGCTATTGAAAATAATTGCATCCATTCTCGAGTATTCTAAAGCAGATTTGTATATTTTAAAACTATTTTGCATGAGCTCATGAATGTTTAAAAAGCATTTTAGAGTGAATAGACACAAAATTACATTTTAATTCTGACACAAAAGGATACAGACATATAGCACTGCCATGAAAAAATGGGGAATCACACCTATGTGTGCTCTTTTTCTCTCCTTTGGTTCTGTAGCAGTCCAATAAAGAGCATCCAAGATATCTTGACCAAAAGAGGAAAACAATCGATCAGCTACCTAAATTGAGAGAGAGAAAGCACATGCAACAAGGAAATACAACTTTATAAATCATAAGGCAAATATATTCCGACATGCAATGTCTTTTGCAATCACCATCTTTATCTAAATTACCAGAAAGATCCAGAATGAGACTTCTAAAAAATCTGGATGTTGTATTTAAAACACATCAGAAGTCCTACTGTATCTCTTCCAACAAGCCTACCCAACAGTTTTTAACTATGAATTTTAAAATCGCATCCTATGTTTATTGTTTTAATTTGTGTCTTATGTATTTTAACATATGTATGCTTTAATGTATGCTTTTATGGTTGTATTTTAATTCTGTTTTAATATGTGCTCCTATGTGACTATGTTGTGCCCTGCCTAAAGCCAAAAAGAGAGGCAGATGAGTAATAAAAATTATTATTAATATTAATGTTGGCCAGGAGCTATCTGGAATTCCCTGAAAGCAGAATAAGGTAGCACATTTCTATTCAGTGAGCAAATATAGAACATATATAATTAGCCTCTGATATTTAGTGTCAATGGCTAGTTTTTATTTTAGGGATAATACTCAAAACTACGTGGGGGGAACCAGGCTCATACATACTCTTGTCTTGGCAGGGTACTATTCTTAGTTTTATAAGCTTTGTCAAAGGTGGCATAAAAGGGGCTCCAAGTACAGGTAATCATCCTATAACAACAGAAAGTTCTCCCTCTCTCTCACTTGTGACTTGGTAGGTGAGGAGCTAACTGACCACTGTGCAATGTAGAAGCTCAAATCCTTATTGCCTGTAGAGCAATTGGCTATGGAATTGTGGAACTTAGCATAGCTACATTGGTATGATGCTAGATGCTAAAAATGTATAGGCCTTAGGCTATTATGTGACCTTCTCCTCGTCCAGTAAATAATTTCAGAATCTATTTTGTAAGAAATGGTATGCTTCTGTGCTTATTAAAATGTACTTCAGGTTGCCTGAAGGAATTATTTCATCCCTTGGTGACATTTATCCATATATTGACCAAGTTAGTGTGGGGCAGAAATTACTAAGATGAATAAAGGGTCTCTCTATTTTTACAGATAGAGAGGACACAGCAACATAGTTATTTACTTTTTGCAAGGCCTACTGTAGCTCTTTCCACTACACACTAGCATACCACACTGATTTGGGGATCACTATCATATGCTAGCCCATGCTACTCTTCATAGGATAATATCATGTCTTATGGAAAGTCTCCCACCATTATCTAGTTATAACGTAGGAGTTATTGTTCTTTATTCATTCAGTTGCTTCCAACTCTACATGACCTCATGGACCAGCCCACGCCAGAGCTCCCTGACAGCTTTTGCCACCCCTTCAAGCTCCTTCAAAGTCAAGCCAGTCACTTCAGGGATACCATCCATCCATCTTGCCCTTGGTCATTCCCTCTTCCTTTTTCCTTCCATTTCCCCCAGCATCATTATCTTCTCCAAGCTTTCCCGTCTTCTTATGATGTGGCCAAAGTACTTCATCTTTTCCTCTAATATCCTTCCCTCCAGTGAACAGTCAGGCATTATTTCCTGGAGTGTGGACTGGTTTGATCTTCTTGCAGTCCAAGGACAAAGGGAACAGAAGACAAAAGTCACGATTTGCATTTGCCAGCAAAAGCTGACCTCAAAAACAGTAGGAATGGCAAGTCTTTGCTGGCTTGTCTTTCAACCCTGACAGGTTTTTCCTCCTGTTGTGTGACAACATCTGGATCCAATTCAATGTTGGGAGAACACACAACATGGCTACACAGAAAAATCTGATAATGTGAATGAAGGCCAGAAATCCATTTTCTTGGTAGAAATAAGAACACAGTTGAAAAAAATATATACGTTTTCAGAGGTAGTACACACACATCAATTCCCTCCACAGTAAAGCTTGCTGAATACCATCTTCAGTCTTTCAAATACCAAGCGAAAACATCTTCATACATGTTGTTGTTTGAGCCTTTTAAGGTTTTTAGATTTGTTTCCTGCTGTTGCAATTTGTGTGTACATTACTGAAGCTGTGGCACATGATTTTCAGTACAGTGTCACACTGTTGTAATTTCTGGATACACTTTCATTAATGCATTGTTTAACTATATATTATCAACCATCTTGTTCTTTTCTCTTTTAAGCTAAAGGGCAAAAGATAGAAGCTAAGGTGCTGCACGCCCGCAAGAGTATTTTGAGAATAGCAAAGAATACGTCATTTCCTATTGTCAATCAGTGGATTATGCAAGGATCCTTACCCAAATGGGCCAGAGGAAGGTGACTAGCCCAAGGCCAATCAGAGAATGCTAAGCCTGAATGTGAACTTAAATGGAATTCCTCAGTTCCAGATTAGCAATATAACCACTACTATACTATGTCAACTCTGTAATGCTTCGCTTTATATGATATGCTTCAGGCATGAGCAGGTCTTGCAACCCACCAGCTGGAGCTAGTTACAAGATAGTGTCTGAAAAGTAAGTGGGGCAGATAAAGCAAACCAGGAAATGGATCCAATCACTTATAATACCCTGAGAACCATACAAAACCAAAGCTTCCATATATAAACACACATCTATTATGTGTCTTACAACAGATAAAAGATGCAAAAACATAATTTAGAATGGTGAAAAGTTCTATTATTTTTTCATAACCCTTGCTGATCTATAGCAAATCATATACGTAGTAATCTAACAGCAGATCCTAATTTACTTTCTCACCACTCCTGATGTACATCAGCAAGACTACAATGCTACTTCATTCTTCCAGGTAAAGAACTCTTGACACATAACTCAAGATATATGGCTAGTATCTGCTCCTCTTCTTCCTGTTTACCCTATGTTCCTGTTCTTCCCAGTATCTTCCTTCCTTTATGCAAGCAAGAGATTCATTACACACAGTAATAAGAGGAGCCAGTTTCATGTACCACTCCACTTACCACATGTATCTAGCAATTCTTCCACGACTGTCTCTTTCACCAGGGCAAAAGAAAGGAAGGGCAGCGCCTCCTTTAATCCCACATGGGATCACAAAAGGTGCCCCATTCCTCTCTCCACAGGAAATATCTGCATTTCACTTTTGTGAGGGAGCTGTGCCCCTAAACCAGTGGTTCTCAACCTGTGGTTCCCCAGATGTTTTGACCTTAAACTCCCAGAAATCCTAATAGCTGGTAAACTGGCTGGGATTTCCGGGAGTTGTAGGCCAAAACACCTCATAGGTTGAGAACCACTGCCCTAAACCTTTGTGAAAGTTGGAGGACAACATTTATTTGCAATTAAAAAAAAAAACAGATGTGGCATTTTTTAACATAAAAGGACCCTCACACCCTATAGTCAGTGCAGAGACAGTTCTGTTCTTCACCCCCTGCAGTGCATTTTAAACTGTAGAGGATTTTTCCAAAACCAGAAGTGACTTTCATTAAAAAAAATGCTATCTCCTGGGCAATAAACACCTAGATCCGCTCAACTCTCCACCTCCCAATGTTTTAAAAACCTTCATGGCTCCTAGAGAACAGAGGAGTGTTAAAGGCATGATCTTCTGAGGACTGGTGGTGGTGGTGGTGTGTGTCCTGCATATCTTTAGAAGCTGCCAGACCCTGGTTTACTACGGTGAAACACCTGTCTCATTTAACCAAGGAGAACAGTAGATTTGGCAAGTAGCCCTGATGCCTATTTGCTTACCTCAAGCATATTATAGATGATGTAGAGTTTAATGACAGACTGTCCTCTGATCAGGTGGTACATCATGGAATAGTCAACATAGTGCATCATGAAGTAGCAGATTACCAGTATAACTCCTTTGAAAATATCACAGACCTGAGCAGGCTGCAGCAAACGCCTATCACTGAAATACATGAAGTACATAAAATAAGGCGCATACAGTATACATTTGCAGACAAAAGCCAGGAATAACAAATGAAAGATTTTTTTTTCAAAATAAACAAAGCCTCCAAAGTCGTTACAGGCAGTTTCCAAGTTATGAACACGATATGTTCTATAGGTTTTTTTCCCCTTAAATTGAATTTGTATGTAAGTCAGAACAGGTAGATTTTAAAGTGTAAACCCAGCCAAATATAGATAGATAGTTTTGGACAGCATAGGGAAGGTTTATTACCCCTGTGGAGTTTATTTTGCTTTCTGTGCCCCAGAAGATTTCACTCCTCTTTCTATCCCTGTGAGAATTGGATTTTGAATAATTTGGCTTGCTGTAGAAACAAGGACAGGTGAAAAAGCTTCAGTGGAGACACCTTTTCCCCATGATAACACTTTCAGAAGTGAATTTCCCTTCCAAGGGGTAGATTTTCTTCACTTCCTCTTGTTTCACTCTATTCTTAACTATGAGTCATTTGTAAGTCAGATGTTTGTAACTCGGGAACTGCCTGCATTTCTGAAACTACTGGAGCATCAATAAGTAGATCAGGCTATTCTAATGCACTATTCATAGTTTTTTTTTTAAATAAATAGCTGATGACTCTTACTCCTGAGCTGCTTCAATTCCATTAAAATAAATATTAGTTACATGGTGACTGGATTTTATTTTTTCCTTCTCCCTTCTCATTTGTTTTTCGTATATTTTTTGCCATTTAGATGCAAATTTAAACACTAGACTTGTTCTTTAGCCTTATTGAAGGTATGTCAGAAGCTATACAAACTTTCTTTTTGGGTGAAGGATATTATTTTTCCTACTAAACTGTTCACTGTATGTGCAAATTTTCTGATTTAAGGCATGGACTGCAAATTTCTGTAGTGTTTACCTCTCGGTCTTGGACTCATAATTGAAGAGAGCAAACAAATTGTTTTGCTGTAAGCACAAAACCTCCATAAACATTTTGAAGTGAACAAAGGTCAATTTCTATTTCAAGAACTGACCCAGAATATCCAAAATATGATCCGCAAGCAGATGCTTTACAAAATGCTTTGGGCATGTTACATAGCTTTGTACTTGAGAAGTAAAAGAAATTGAGACATTTATAGCTAAATTGGGATAAACATGTTCTAAACATAAGGTGACAAAGTAAAACTTAAAAAAATCTGCACACAGACATTGTAGTGATTTTATGACTGAGTCCCTTGCAAATTAGACTATTGACTTGGGATACATTTGTACTTCTTGTTCTAATTCTGAGGAAGCTGGAAAAGAAGGTATAACATTAGGGGAAAGTTCACACAGCAGCAAGGATGCAGGCAGCCTAAGGTCCCATAGATCAATATGCCACTGGCTTGGGTTTTTTATCAATTGCCAAGGACCAGCACCCTATCTGTCCTCATTGGATATAACTGTTTCTTTCTTTCCTGAAAACATGCTGCAGATCAGCAACCAATTCATTCATCTTCCTTAACCACATGGCCAAAGGTTGTACCACTGGACTATTCTTTCAAGCTTTGATACATGATTCTGAACTAATTTCAAACACTACTTTAAATTCAGGCTTGTTCCAAAGCTACTAGCCAGCATCTTCGTTCAGACAAAATCAGACAGTATAGTTAAGCACAGACTCATTTCAAATAGTTATGTAGGCACTTCCACACTGTATACAAGTGTGCCACCGAGGCAGGAGAAAAGAAGTTCAAAAGGAGTCTATTTTGTCTCATTTGGACCAAAGGATTTTTTATTCATCCAAACTGAGCCATTATCTGGTTTAGTATTCACAATTTTAATTAATATATCTATACCACACTTCTTCATAACCACCACCATAGCACTGAATAAAGATTGTTGAAACAACAATTAAAATACATTATTATTATTATTATCATCTTTATTTGTACCCCGCTAACATCTCCCGAAGGACTAGAGGCGGCTTACAAAGGCCAAGGCCTCAATAAAAACAACAGCATAACAATACACATAACATTATAAAGCAAATCAAAACGTTAAGCAATAACAGTAAACAATAAAAACAATACACCATAACACAATAAAACTAGGGCCGGGCCGAATGTAATGGGTACAGATTAAAAAGTGCTGAGTATGACAGGTGCAATGTAGGATTTTAGGGTAAGTGCAATGTGCAGGCAATCCTAAATCTCCGATAAAGTGCTTCTGGGACATATTGCTGGAGTTTCCTATTCTGGAAAGGCACACCGGAACAGCCAGGTCTTCAAACTCTTCCTAAAGACTGCCAGTATAGGGGCTTGTCTGATGTCTTTGGGGAGGGTGTTACATTATTACAAAACAGCACATTAAAAATACTTTAGGACACTAGATTACAGAGATTCGTATCAGCACCTGTCCTTAAAACCACAATGTGTAAACCTCATGATTGCTTTAACCGGAATACCCAGAAAACACAAATAGACACTCGCTACTTACAAACAAAATAAATAATATATTTAAAGTTCACCTGTCCAATTTAAATAACAATATTTTTAAAAATTACTAAAATGAACAAATGTATTTTCAGTGCTCATATAATTAGCTCTAAATGTATAAATTCAGATACGGTTAAAATTATAGTTTCTTGAACAGCAGGAGTCCAGATCAATCCAAACACATGGTCTATTATATGAGGAAACAGTTTTTCTGTACTTTGGGGCAGTGGTTTGAAGATATTGTTTGCACTCATACTATCAATGGGTAATTAATTAGTTCAGCTTCAAGCACCATTAAATTTTTTCCAAAATAAAAACAACCCCGTCACCACTGAAAAACTATAGAGTATGCAGACAAGTGCAACCCAATGATTGCCTTGCCCACAATTACAAATTTCTCTTCCCAATACAAACATGCCTAAGCTGTTACAGTAAGTTGTAACAGGATCAAGTGTGTGCGTGCGTGCGTGTTAAAGAAAACCTTATACTGTTGATTATTATGTGCAGCTGCTAATGTAGGTCAACTAGTAAGTTTTGACCACACCCAGTGGGGTATAACTGTATGGATTTTAGAATACAGTTCAGCTTTTGATCTGAGGAACCTTTGCTCTGGCATTTTGCTCAACCATTTGTGCTGCTCTCTCATTTGGACGAAATTGAAGAAGCTCTATTCTGTATTGCTTACAAGGACCATGTAAGTTTGTTGTACTGTTTTGTTTGCAACACTGCAAGTTTATGTTTTAACTGATAAGAGTAAAGTTTTTTAATGTTCGTTTTCCTCTTGCCTGTGTGCAATGTTATTGTGCCTTCTGCATTGGACCAGACTGAAACCCGCTTGAGCGCAAAATAAGCCATTTCTCAAAAATCTGTAATACTTTTTTTAGCTGAGCTGCTTCTAGTACACAAAATTAAAAATGTTTTCAGCCCTGTTGAACAGATTGCTGCACCAGGGAACATCAATGGATCTACTTGCCTATTTCATTATGTAAATCAAGTTTTCTAAAGGCTCAGATAACAGAGATTTAAATATGTTGTTATCAGAACAACCTTTATTATATGACATTTGTTCAAATAAACGTTTTACAAAACCAGAGCACTAACTCCATCTGCTGGTTAAAGAGAACATTCGTAAGCAATGTTGAGCATAAAACTTAAGATGAACACAATAGCAAAGAAAAACTTTAAACATGTCCTAGATAGGATCAACAGAAGTGACATCTTCAGATGTAAAGACACTGGTTCCATGACTGTTCCCACTGGTTGCTATGTTTACAGATATAAGTATTTTTCCATATGTGATGAACCTGACTGATTAGTTCATTTGAGCAAGTTAAGTGGAATTTATTTTAGTACTGAAGCTCATGCTAAAATAAATCAGTTAGTCTACAAGATTCTTCTCACTGCTTTGTTTCATTTGTGTCCAATCGGGTTGCTATCTGTTATCAAGTCCTCTTCAAATGTTGGCAACCCTATGTATGAGAGACTTTTAAGAATTCTGGCTATCAACAGCCCAGTTCAGGTATTGCAAACTCAGGGCCATGGCTCCCTGTACAGAATCAATCCACCTGAAAAATAGTCTTCATGTTTTCCTGCGGCTTGACTGAACATTACTTTCTTTTCCAAAGTCATGTTATCTCATGGTATGCCCAAAATATGAGAGCCTCAGGTAATCATTTTGGTTTCTATTGAAGCCAAAATAACTGTCCAGCTAAATATCTTTAATATAAAGGACAGGATTAAAATAAATTCTGTCTAATGTAATCCTTGCTTGACTGTAACTTCACTACACAGACAGCCATTATCCATTAATGGGATAACATGTAGGGGAATAGGAAAAATGCTTGACACATTATATGAAACTGAATTAAGCTATAGAGAAGGGGGATAATTTTCTAATTATTAATCTCTCTTTATTTTGTAGTATAAAAAGTGGTACAGGCAATCTGAGTCATGATCCAAAGAGGTAGTTAGTGATCCAGTGGGACAGAGATGGCTCTTATTCCCTGTTGGCTCTGGAAGAGTAAGGAATCATTTGGAACCAGAGGGCCGAAAGTGGGACATGTTGAGTGGAGTAGAAGGTATTTTGTTGTGTAGGAAGCTGCATGTTAGAATTATGTTTATTCTAGACATAGGGCACCTTTATAAAGCTATTTAATAAATGTATTTATTCCGTGGAATCAGGGTTATACTTGAGTCAAGGTTATTTATTATTACATGCCCATTATTTTACTCTATTATTATTATTATTATTATTATTATTATTATTATTATTATTACATTTATTATTTTATTCTATTATTATTGGAAGATACGTAAGCACATATACATTGAAGGAGGTTAGAACAATGGTTTAATCAGAGTTTGACAGCTTTATCTTAAATTACAGTTTTATGTAAATATTCAAAAACTTTTAACCTACTGGTGCCTCAATTAGTGTAATTTTATTGGTATCTATTTTTATTTTTAAAATTTACCGGCAGCTTCTCCATTTTCCACCCTAGACTTATACTCTAGGCAATACATTTCCCCAGTTTTTTGTAGTAAAATCAGGTGCCTTGGCTTATATTCGGGTCGGCTTATACTCGAGTATATATGGTCATAGTCAAGAAAAAGGGAACATTGCTGAGCACTGAATCTGGCTGCATTTGAATGGTGACAAGAAACAAGCAGTCCATCAAACAAACTGTAGGTTTATTTCATGTGTGGGAAGCTGAGCAAGAGTACAAGAAATGATTGCTGGGAAATTTGGCCCTTTTGTTAGCTGTACTTCTTCAGCAAGTCTGCAACACTCTTGGCCATAACAAGTCCTATGTAAGATAGTTCAAATCCCTTGATGGGTATTGTCAAGGAGTCCTTGGAACAATATAAAATTCTGTTTTGGGCTTGTGTGTGGACCTCCCATACACAAGGCTTTTTGTGAGCTGCCTTCATCTCCTGGGGTCTTTGCAGCTATTTTGTGACCATACCTAGTTAACACGACTGTCATTTTTCCTACAGTATACATAGAAAAATCAAATCAAATATCTCTATATTTTATATGGGACAAGGAAGCTACCTAATTAATGAGTGGGGCAGTTCAGGATGAAAAACCGAACTATTTTTGAACAATTTTTGCACTTTTTTTAAAAAAAGGAAGTGGTTTTAGCTAGAAACAAAAAATGAATAGTCTGTTTTGCACAATCTGAAAGAAAGGCAAGCAATATGACTCCCCTGAGGTCAAAGGAAACAGTTCCTGCTTTGGTGAATGTGTATGTAAATGCTGTTCACATTAAAACTACTGTTCGTTGACACATTCTATTTTTAAGTGTTCTCTTCCAGTGATAGATTACATCAAAAAGTGCAAATGAAAAAAAACCCCACTTTGGAACACATGCATCATATGGCCGAACTCAAGACAGACTAGATGGATAAACTTTGCCAACCTAATGCTAGTTTAAAGGAAGTATTTTCTATATTTGCATTAACCTAGTAGGTTCCTCACTTTGTTTGCAGTTTGATTAATTTAAAAAAACTGGATGCGCACAATCAGAACAACATGCTAAGAAAGAAAGGAAAGACACCAACCTCATTCTTAGGCCTCGGTGAGAGCTGTCTCAAAACAAATAGGGCAAAATGAGAAACTGTATAATAATCAATAAAGTTTACACACAATTTTCCTAAAGAAATTTTATCTGAAAACTAATTGAGTGAGGTAACGGTTAGGAGATGGTAAGACCCATTATTCAAAATTATCGATATATATAGCATGTTCTATTTATATATATAATTTCTTGTGACAAAATAAAAGAGTCCTTTGATGGGCAGAAAGACCAATGCAAAAGACACTGTATGGCATTAAAAGATAAGCTTCCAAGCAACATATTTACTAGAGAAAGCATTATCTGCTAAAAGCATAGTACTATACGTCATGCGAAATTTTTTTACAAAGGATATGTCTAGACCAAGGGTCCTCAAACTAAGGCCCAAGGGCCGGATTCGGCCCTCCAAGGTCATTTACCCGGCCCTAGCTCAGGGTCAACCTAAGTCTGGACTTGAAGGCACACAACAACAACAACAACAACAACAACAATCCTATCTCATCAGCCAAAAGCAGGCCCATATTTTCCATTGAAATACTAATAGGTTTACATTTGTTAAAATTGTTCATTTTAATTATTGTGTTGCTTTTAAGTGGAGTTCTTTTTTTTTGCACTACAAATAAAATATGTGCAGAGTGCATAGGCATTTATTCATGTTTTTTTTCAAATTATAATCTGGCCCTCCAACAGTTTGAGGGACTGCGACGTGGTCGTCTGTTTAAAAAGTTTGAGGACCCCTGGTCTAGACCATATTTTCCAGCTAAATAAACCATGTTTCAAAAACCAATGAACAAACACCCTTCTCTCCTTGTCCCTCCTCATTATTTATTTATTTATTTACAACATTTCTACTCTGCCCTTTTCACCCCCGAGGGGACTCAAGGCGGTTTTATATACAGGAAACAATTTGATGCCTTAAAACACAAGGTGCACTTAAATAAGTATTAAAATAGAATTTAAAAGTACATTTAAAATAATTAAAATATTTAAAAACAATACATTAAGAGTTAAACACATAATCTACGAGCATAATCCAGGCCATCCAATGGTCATTGCACATTGTTCCAAGTCTATCTATTTCACAAGTTCTCTAAAGGCTTGGTCAAAAAGCCACATTTTTACTCTCTTGCAGAAAGTCAAGAGAGAGGGGGTTGATCTAATATCCTTGGGAAGGGAGTTCCACAGCCAAGGAGCCACCACTGAGAAGGTGTCTCTGCCAATCGTGCCTGCGAGTAAGGTGGGACCAAGAGCAGGGCCTCCCCAGATGATCTTAAACTTCATAGTGGTTCATAGAAGGAGATACGTCTGGACAGATAAGCTGGGCCAGAACCGTTTAGGGCTTTCCATTCATTGGATTACCACTGCATTTTTTACTTATGATAAGTCAAAATTCTCCACTATATCTGAACCAGGAATCTAGGGCATAATATCATTTAATGAATTGGTATAATAAACCAGAATCAGAATTATCATGGGTGAAAGAGAGCGTTTTCCAGTTCAGCTGTAATGCGGGAATCCTGTTTACTGTTAGCTATGGAAGGCCCATCAAAAATGGTAGACATTAAGAACAGGGAAGCAGGGTGGGAATAATTATCTAAATTGGGGGTTTGAGAAGCTGAAAGCTATTATCAGAACCAAGCCAGTGTATCTCATGTAATATAGCAAATGTCTGAAGAACAGTTTGTCTACTTTGTGCACTTATTTTAAAAAATAAATGCTCTTTGGATTTAGTTGAAATCTCACGTTACAGCTTGAATAAAATGATGTTCTTGGGTAAATGGAAGAGATTTCCATTTGAGCAAGGCAATTTATGCATTTCCATAGCATCTGTCTTTCAGCTGCACTCCATGGACCAAAGTACATAACAGATATGGAAGGAGCCAGATACTCACAGGGTGGATTTTTGAAGGCACAAGAAGATGTAATGAGGTGGTGGGATTTGTGTGTGTGTGTCAGGAGCGACTTGAGAAACTGCAAGTCTTTCTGGTGTGAGAGAATTGGCCATGTTCAAGGCTGTTGCCCAGGGGAGACCTGGATGTTTTACCATCCTGAGGGAGGCTTCTCTCATGTCCCGGCATGAGAAGCTGGAACTGACAGACGGGAGTTCACCCCATCTCACGGATTTGAACCACCAACCTTTCAATCAGCAGTCCCACCAGCACAAGGGTTTAACCCATTGCGCCACCGCGGGCTCTGGGAGTTGGGGTAAGAAAGAACATTGTATGTGGTGATTCATAATCACTTTTGGCCAGAAAAGGCTAAAGACCTTGTAAAACCCTCATAATTCCATTGCATTAAGCTATAGCAGTTAATGTGTTGTCAAACTGCACTAATTCTACAATGCAGATGAACCCTTCGAAGCATGGTATAACAAGGATCCCAAGAAATGTGACTCTTAGGATGTTTAGCAAAATAGACATTTTTTTCTCTGGGAAGTGGAAGGGTAACTTCATCTTAACTTTAATGTGAGAATCTACTATGATTTGTTAATTCATGTTTTAATCTCCCACTGCAAAAAATTAAATGTCACTGCTATTTTTACCTATAGAATTTGTCTTGTCTATAGATTAAAATACATTGATAGAAACAGATATATTGGTTAAAAAATGATTTGCTCCATTGTGTTGTCTAAGGCTTTTATGGCTGGAATCACTGAGTTGCTGTGAGTTTTCCGGGTTGTATGACCATGTTCCAGAAGCATTTTCTCCAGAGGAAGTCACAGGGAGGAGGGAGCAAGCTTGTTTTCTGCTTCCCTGGAGACTAGGACGTGGAACAATGGCTTCAAACTACAAGAAAGGAGATTCCATCTGAACATGAGGAAGAACTTCCTGACTGTGAGAGCTGTTCAGCAGTGGAACTCTCTGCCCCGGAATATGGTGGAGGCTCCTTCTTTGGAAGCTTTTAAACAGAGGCTGGATGGCCATCTGTTAGGGGTGCTTTGAATGCAATATTCCTGCTTCTTGGCAGGGGGTTGGACTGGATGGCCCATGAGGTCTCTTCCAACTCTATGATTCTATGAAGCAGGCATCCATAGATGTGGGCGAAACGTCAGGAAAGAATGCTTCCATACAGCCAAGAAAACTCACAGCAACCCAGATTGGCTCAATTTTTGACCACACAATCTATAAAGTTGTGTTTCATGTGAAGAAATCATGTTACCTGACAGCAAAGGAGAAAAACCAGAATATATACTCACCACGGAGAAGTTTCATGTGACATCACATTCCATCCTATAAAGGAAGTGAAAGTGCTCTTCCCTTCATTCTGATTTATAAGAAATAAAAGAGAAAGAGAGAGAAAGAAGGTTGTAATGTTGCTACACTACGTATGCTGACCATCATGGAAAGGGTAGAGCTGATTTGGAGAGCTTTACTTATATGGAGCTTATACAGAGCAAAGCAGGAAAGGGGTATTTTCCCCTATGAGATGAAAGGAATGAATCACATCTTTGTTTTAAGAAAGGCTGGGGAAATCAACCCTAGCGAAAAAGATCTAGAATAAGGCCTAATGCAGAATCTCATTTTTAATAATCCCAGTCTTAAAATAGGAGAAAAAAGAAAAAATGGATGACCGCATTTCTAAATATATTTGTATTGCCACTTTTTTGTGGAACTGAATCAATACTTGGAGCATATATTAGCTCTGGTATGTATGTTTATAGACACAGTATACTGTTGCAGACAACAGTATACATACATATTATAGAGGATATAAAACTGATTTTTATATTAGGTTAAAATAAATTAAATATACGTGGGATAAATGGAGACTTGACGCAATTTAAATTTAGGATTACTAAAAATAAGAAAATTGTGGCATAGTGGAGAAGAAAGCATATTACTCCTCAAAAGAAATGAAAAAGTAGTGGTAGAATGCATTATTTTTTTCTGGTTATCAACCTGTTCAATTCATAACAAAAGTTACTATGATGTTTAATGTAATATCCTCTTCAGGGATACATCAGATATCACAGGGCATAAATCCGAATAAACAATAAACAGTAAAAATCATTTCCTGAAAAAATCTTTTTTTTTTCCAAAATATGTTTTTGCCAAGGATTAATTAACCCTTGAGCCCTGCATCATGGAATGAAATACTTTTTGCTTGTTTTTCATAACTGTTTGATGCCACAACTGTTTGTTTATCCTCTTTGGGCCCCAATTTGAAGGATGGAGCAAGAAATAATGACACAGTGTCATGAGACCTGCAGAAAGTTGAAATACAGCTGGCACCGTGAAACTCTCCATTCTGAAATATTGTTGAATTTGCAGGTATCAAAAGACACCAATAGGTTTTCACTGCATAGTTCTTCACAAATTCTATTATTAGCAATTTTTTGAAAAAAGTAAAACTAATTAGCCAACTATCTAGTTCGAATTCTCCAAATATATCTGGCAGCCTTCCAAAAACATCCCAAAACAATTAAACAAATTTATTTTCTTCATAAATGATCTGTCAAAACCAAAGGATACACAAGTACAGAACAACAGAAAATAATCTTAGTTAGGAAATCCATCTTCATGTTCTGTTTTTGTAAAACCCTAGAGATCAGAGGCTAAAAAGATGAGAGTTCACAGTTTGCTTTTCATACCATTCATGGTGTCATGGGAAGTAATTGACTTCCAAGAAAGAAAAGCATTTTTATGTTTTTAGAGGAATAAAGATGAAAGATTCCAGCAACTATTTTAATCATTTACAAAAGCCTAGAATAAATTGACCACAAACAAACAAACAAAAAAGGAAGACAAGGGATACTTAAATCTCTCTATTACAATCTTAAATAAAAATAGAATGAAGGGAGGAGCACTTTGAGTTTCTACACAGAATGGAATATGATGTTGTGCCTACAGAAAGGCCTTTCAAATCGCACACGCAAACCAAAGGAAAGAATCCACACACAAGAGGAAAATGTTTAAGAACCACCCATATCAAGAGATTCTGTTATTTCAGTACTTTAGTACTTAAATGCCTTTGATTAAACACATACCTACCTATAAACGGAATGAACATATATTTTTCCTATACGCTTTTCAATTTGTCAAAACATACAAAAATACCAGGAATCTAAAAGCAGCAGTCTTTTACAGAAGAATAACTTATACAGTACACAATGAGGATATATTTACTGCTGCTTAAGAAAGCTTAAAGATGTATGAAAACAAGCTGCTTAACAGATAGCACCAAACTGCATTTATGCAAGAATTCAAAAATGAACATATTGTTTAGGGAGAGGGGAAGATATATGTAAAAGAAACCTTTACCAGCAGCCAATTGTCATCAACAAGAAACAATGCTGACGTGTTTCACAATACCAAATACTCTTGACATCTTAAGTGTTGATCAGTGGTCAATTTTAATCAAGAATGGCATAGCTGGTTACAATTTACAAAAAAAAAAATTAACACTGCACCTCTAGTATAAGATACTTTATACGCTGCCAATTACTTACTACCAAGATTGGAAAATTCATTATCTTGGGTTCATGTATGTTAAGGGTTTGATTCAGTGCTAAATGACCGGATTTCTTAGAGCACATGTGTGAACCTCAAGGCCCGTGGGCCAAATCCAGCCTGCCATGTCATTTTCTGTGCCCCTCCAGAAGCTGGACTACAATTGCTGTATTCCTCCTCATTAGACATCATGACTAGAGCTGATGGGAGTTGGGATACAGAAACATCTGGAAGGCTGCTGTTTGTTCTGTTTAGTCAGGAGAGTGGGGTTTGAACTTAAATACAAGGCTTGTAGATATGGCATCTGACGATAACATGAATGTCCTTTAACCTTTCCCTACATCACAGCCATAAGTGCTGTTGTGTTCAAATTTCCATTATCCCCAGTCCACACAGTGGATAATCAAAAGTGATGGGAGTTGTCTTTCAAGAACATATGGGGACATAAATTGGGTAAAAGCTAAAGAGTACTGACCACAATGGGTGCATGTATATGTATATGTATACAAATGCGCATACACACATATATGATTCTCTGTATCCACGGGTACTCTGCCCATGGATTCAACAGCCTTTGAAGACAACCATAAGACTGATGTGGCCCTTGATGAAAATGAGTTTGACAACCCTGTCTCTGAGATTTAACTAGAAAAAAACCCCTAAATTATCATTTGGACTTTCTAAAGGCACATTCTAACCCATTTGTTATTAAGAGCAATGAAATTAAAAATATGGGAACTTACAACAGTGCACATTAAGTGTTTGCCAAGATGAATGTTCTAACCCCGATCATACATTAGTTATCAAGCTTTCTAAAACACAAGAAGAGTGAAGTTTCTAAGCCTTTCAGCACTTTCCTCACTTGGAAAGTACCACGTTTAAACAGCAGAAGATTCTGATCACACAGAGTCTGGTAGGGAACTTCTTTTTAGGATTTAAGAATGGAAGCATTATTGAAATGAAGACATCAGTTTTTTTAACAACATGCTAGTCCAGATGTCAGTATTTCATCTGAGCAATGTGCCACTACAGTCAACTTTTATCAGCAACAGCATACAACATATAACAAATCATCGCAGTCATTAAACTATAAAGAGCTGTTCTAGATAAGAATACTTTTCCTTACTTAAAGCCCCCGTTCACCCTCTGATGTTTCCCTTCTTTCCATGCTAGCAAGATACGCAATTTTCTGGTTGCCATTCTTTTGGAGCAAATAGGAACTTTTCTTCTTGCCACTTCCCATGTGAAGACAACAATGAGATGTACTAGCTACTCCCCTGATTCCATGTTCAAGAGAGACTGTGGTGCATAATGCCCAAAACAGGATTCTACCTTTCTCTGAAATGTGATGATATTATCATATTTCTTTCCCCAGTAAGAAGTCCAAGCAAACATGGGAAAGTGTTTCAAAATGTGACTGAAAATATAAAATTTCAGCTTGCATAGTGGCTACACACAAATCAAAGTCAGTTTCCAATTGGTGAATGATATTCACTCACTGTTTACTGTAAATCTAGGGAGAAAATGGTCACTGATATTCTTTAGGACATGTAAGAAGAGGACTTGCAATTTTTACAAGTTACAATAAGACAGATATTGCTGATATGTGACTGTAAAAGCTATAGAAAAACCTCATAGCACATTATACAATCAAAGATGATAAATGGGCTTAGTCAATAGATTCATAGAGAACATTGTTGTCTTGCACTCAGTCTAATAGCCTTTTCTAACCTTAACACAAAGAAATGCAACGAGGGTAAATAACAATGCTAAAATTCAGCAATTGTGGCAATATAACACTTCCAACTCTAAGATGTATTCCGGGATTATCTATGCTTGTAAATTATCACATTTACAAACTATATGCCAGAAATTTTAAATTCTGAGTCCTAAAATTTTAGGTTTAAACACTTTTAACCCATAACACATACACATCGATACAATAGGTTTTGCCTACATAGTTCTTGCAGCTCATTTATTTCCTTTGGAAAACGTAATGGAAAATATGCCTTTCATGTGTATAAATGACCAATCTCAAATTAGATAACCTCTATGCACCAGCATTACCATGAAAGGCAGAAATAAAATAAGCATGCTATATATTTTGACGAAAGGCATTGAAGTGCAAAGTGAGGTCAGCTGCAATTTAGTATAATAAAACTTTTAAGATAAAGCTCTCAATATGTCCTTGAATGACCTTCTTGCTTCAACAGTTCTATAAACTCACTCAAAATTTGCTGCATAACACTACTATAAGGTGAAATGCAGAAAATTAATGTTATGTGTTGGGATTATTATTTTCTGTTTGTGTAAACATGGAAAACTGCTATAGCCACAAACCAACTCTTTGCTGAATACATATTTAACTTGGTCAATTTAAGGTAAATTATGATCTTATTCTCTTAGCATGAAACAAATGTTTTGCAAACTAAAAAAAAAATTAAATTGAACTTACCGCAAGCCATAACAAGGCAAAGTGATGAACCTGAATACTGCTAGAAAAACTCTCAATGGAAGGAGCGTGAACACATAAAGGAAAGCATCCAGGCATAAGAAGATCCCAAAAATCATCAACTAGAATTTAACAAATGATAATGTAGATTAATAATCTTCGCAAATTTTCACAATAATGACCAGAAAGCATCTTAAGGTTATAAAATTACTTACCCAAAAATGTAAACATATGTAAGCATATACACACATATACATAAAAATTTATTAACATGGCCATTAGCACAAAGCTATTAAAATTGTAGAAGTAAACTAAAATACTAAGGACGATATCACATGAGAGTCCTAAAGTGCAGGTCTGCGTTTTCCAGTCTCCCAGTTTGCTCTGGCAGAATTCTGGGAAATGCAGTTTAGGGAAGCCAAGGACCTTTCTGGATGAGAATTCCAAAAGGTCCGCCCCAAATTACATTTCCCAAAATTCTGCAGGAGAAAACCGAGCGATAGGGAAACATGGACTTGTGCTTTGGAACTCTAATATGATATTGTCCCCAGACTTCTAAAAACAAAGCAAAATAGGTCGGATCAGCAAATGTCCCAACATCTTGGAAAGGTCAGAGCAAGATTAATCTCTAAAAAAAGAGCACTGTACCATATCTGGGGCACTGAAGAATTGGGGGTGGTGGGGGTTTTGCTTATTCCTAAAGCACTATTTCTTTAGTGTGTCAAACTTTTACGAAACAACACATTTTGTACTTGGAAAATGTTCAGCAAAACCTCTACTTCCTTTCATGGCTCAGTGGTCCTAATCTTCTCTAAATAGATGAATTGTTTTTGGACAGAGTTTCAGATCATCAACCCTAACCTCCCATTCACAGTACAGTAACTATAGTCTTTTTGAACGAAAGAGAGGCAAATTGTGCAGAATTATTTTCAACGGTACAATTGCCATCTTTGCAAATTTTCCTTAGATGGAGCAATCTATAAAATAATGTTCAGTTCTGTCTATATTAATATGTTCTTCAATGTATATATAAAACTGGTCTATTATTTGAAACAGAACAAGGTGAGTCCACAGCAGACAAGATCACTCTGCTGGTTGTTGCATTGGATCACAAGTCGGACACTTCCCAAGTGTCTAGGTCTGTGTGATGTATCGGCGAATAATGAGTGAAGATCCCAGTAAGGTGGCCTTCTGCAGCTGGCAGGTGGTAATTTTGTCAGCACCGATTGTGTTTAAGTGCAGGCCAAGGTCTTTAGGCACTGCACCCAGTGTGCCGATCACCACTGGGACCACCTTAACTGGCTTGTGCCACAGTCTTTGTAGTTCGATCAGCTGGTCTATTATATTATTATTATTATTATTATTATTATTATTATTATTATTATTATTATTTTAGCCCGCCCTCTCTCCCCAAAGGGACTCAGGGTGATGTCCAAACAAAAAACATAAAATTGGCAAACATTCAATGCCATCAACTCAAAATTAAGACAATTATGCATATAAATTAAAACAAATTAAAAGACATTGGCTGGAATATAAATACAATCAAACAATGAAAACTGTGTAAGATAGATAGCTCTTCGATAAATTACCTAAAAATAAATCGGAAGTACTAAAGTATCACTTCTCTTTTTTTCATGTTTCAAATACAAGTTTTCAAGAGCACAATCTCAGAATCATCATTATAAATAAGAAACTATCTTGAATCTTTCTTAGTAATACCATTGTTCCACATGTTCACATGAAATTTTAGAGGTTTAACAAAGTCAGGTAACTGGTTAAAGAAGTCAATAAAAGTACACCAAACTCCAAAAAGTGTGTCTATCTGAAGACATGTACTACCAAAAATGAATTGATTTGTTAGCTAGGGTTTGCTCGGTGAAGATCACTAGTCCAGGCAGTTACAAATGACTCATAGTTAAAAACAGCGCAAGACAACAGGAAACGAAAGAAATCTACCCAGGAAGAGTTGGGAAAAGGTGTCTCTACTGAAGCTTTCTCACCAATCCTTGTTTCTACAGCAAGCCATTTTTTTTCTACAGAAAGTCCAATCATAGGGATAGAAAGTGAGGTCAAATATACTAAACAGGGGCACAGACAGCAAACCAAACACCACAGGGGTGTTAACCCTTCCCTGTGCTCTCCAAACTTTGTGTGTGTGTGTGTGTGTGTGTACACACACACAAAGAGAGAGAGGGAGGGATACATTTACAAATGCATAGTATCTGTACAGTACCATTCACATGCTTTGCAGGCATTTGTGCTTCTTATCTGACTAACAAACAAATTCAGCTGAAGAACAAACCTACAGAACCTATTATGTTCGTAACTTGGGGATTGCCTCTAATCAAGGGCTGCTCTCCTACTAATCTCCTGTGCAACCTACAGCTTTGTGTATTCCTAGTCCAATTAAGGTGTTTACTGGTTGAAAGTAGCATGCAACAGATCTAGCCAGCTGTCCACTGTGGACAAGATTATGGCTACAGAATCCTATCCTGCCAGATACATGAAAATAGAGCTATAAAGTTCCTGCCCCTTTAATATTTGTATGGAAGAGGTGACTCCATGAAATGTAACTTTAGTCTCACACAAAACTACTGAGCAACATCTGCAGTCATTTTCTGTGGTACACTACTGGATTCATCCCTGAGTCTGGAAGTTCAGGTTTTGTAGCCCCGGCTACAGAGAACACATAATTCCCGAGTTGCAACAGCTGCAGTGGTTCATTTTTGAGCATGATTCAAAGAACTGGTTTTGACCAGGTCCAGGTTATTTGAAGGACCTACAAACAAACAAATGCTACAATTGATCTTCGCCAAAAAGCCGGGAAGTGAAGGATCATATTCTCACTTACAGCTTTGCCTATGTTTTTAGTTCCACAGGTGGGGGACTCCCTGCCATTCTCCCTGCTCTTTCCATTAACAGTTGAAAACATTTTTGTTTTGGCACATCTCTGAGGCCTGATTATTCAGAAGGGTCATGCCTTGCTAGATTTTTTTTTTTTATGATGATGATCATCATGTTTTTGTGGCCAGGCATCATTCTATTATCCTCCATTCTTGGGTAAGGATGCAGCATCCCCCCCCCCAAATCTTCTTCACTTTGGCCCTCTCGTTCTTTTTCTCCCCTCAACCCTTCCTCCACCTCTCTTTTTCCTATCTTTCTCTCATGCTGTTTTCATGGAAGTGGCACGAACCTTGTGAATGGCCCAGGTTTTCTCTTTGCAGGTCAGCCTTTCGTAGGGGAATGGTTGACCTGTGAAGGGGAAGTCCAGCCCCTTCTATGCTGAAGGAAAATGGTTTGTGGGCCACATTCGGCCCATGGGCCATGTGTTATACAGGCCTGCTCTAAGGAAGAAGAAATCTCATATGTGACCATGTCAGCCCCCAAAATGTTTTCTTTCACCAGTTTCCACTTATCTTATGATCTCCATTTTGGTGGTTCAACACAGAAAGCTATGCTTGTTTGAATCCTGGAGAATTCTGTTGAGGCAGGATTACTTGTTCTCTCCCCTTCTCGCTCCTTTGGCTGTTCCTTCTGGAAGCAGCTGCTGTTTGCCTGTTTACATTGCCTGCTGACAGTGTGGTTTTAGATACAGTTCTACAGCAGAATTATGCTCTTTCACATGCTCTGCAGGCATATGTGCCTCTTATCTGAAATGCCTGCCTGGCAGTGAAAGTTGCTCTATTTGTGGTCAGGAGCCATAAGCAGGAGTCCTTCCTTGGTGTGTGTGTGGTTTTTTTCCCCCATGTCAGGAGCAACTTGAGAAACTGCAAGCTGCTTTTGGTGTGAGAGAATTGGCCGTCTGCAAGGATGTTGTCCAGGGGATTTCCGCATGTTTGATGTTTTACCATCCTTGTGGGAGGCTTCTCTCATGTATTTGCATGGGGAACTGAAGATGACAGAAGGCACTCTCCCCATATTTGAACCGCTGATCTGTCAGTCAGCAGTCCTACAGGCACAAGAGTTTAACTCACTGCACTACCGAGGGCTCCATCCTTCCTTGGTAAGGATGCAGCATCTCTTTTTACACAATTATAGCAAGGTCAGTGACAGAAGACTTAACCACATAATCCTTCAATTACATCAGCTGCATTGGCTCCAAAATTCTTTTTTTTTTGTTTTGAGGAATACTAAAGGTCACCTGTAAGACTCCAAATGTATACCAAGCAACATATCTTTAAAAATTTGTTTCAAGTTGCTTTGATCTCTGAAATGGGAAAAGGGAAGGATAGAAATAAATGTGAGGAGAAGCAGGGAGGAGGAGAGAACTTGCCTTTTCACTTACTCCTGTAACTAATTCTGAAGAGGTTGTGGAGCAAGATAAACCACTGTGAAGCTCTTGCCAAATTGAATGGAGATATCTATTGTTTCTTACTTTCTAATCTTCTACTTTTAGCTGCAGCTAATTCTTCCCAACATTGGTTCTAAAAACAATCTCTAGGACATGGCGCCACTGGCAACAAAAACAGTCCTATATGTCTCTCCACCCCATCCAATTTGGCAACCTAACACCCACATTCTCATTTCTGTTAAATAAAGAGTTCCCAAGTTGTGTGCCACCACTCTGAAAGGGGAATGGAAGCAAGCTTTTTCTACAATAGTTCCTACATTATCGGTTTTTTACTTCTCTGTAGATCCAGCAATATTATGAGCACAGACTATACATTAATTTAAAATAAATAAGATGTGCCACTATTCTTTCCAGGTTCTTTCAGAGATACATATGTGTTTGTGTGTGTAAAGGTAAAGGTTTCCCCTGACATTATAAGTCTAGTCATGTCCAACCCTGGGGGCTGGTGCTCATCTCCATTTCTAAGCCGAAGAGCCAGTATTGTCCATAGATACCTCCAAGGTCATGAGGCTGGCATGACTATATGGAGCATCATTATCTTCCTGCCACAGCGGTACCTATTGATCTACTCACGTTTGCATGTTTTCGAACTGCTAGATTGGCAGAAGCTGGGGCTGACAGCGAAAGCCCACGCTGCTCCCCAGATTCGAACCTGTGACCTTTCGGTCAACAAGTTTAGCAGCTCAGCGGTTTAACCCACTGTGCCATGAGGGGGCTCTCTCTCTCTCTCTCTCTCTATATATATATATATATATATATCTCCATCCTTAAGACACTCATATAGTTCTTCATCAGATATTTAGACCAAACCATGTGAAGAGCAGAACTTTAAGAGATTTCCAGTATAGCGTGTTCTGGCCAGAAATACAAAACAAACACTACAGTTAGCGTCTGCTTGCTGGGAGTTTTTGTTTTATTTTTTGATAAGCACCTCTCACTGCCAGACAAGTTGCTTTTCAAATTAAACAACTGTTTTTCCTTTTGGCATTGGAACTGGTGCAGAGAAAACAATAAATGTAATTCTGGCTGCACAGTCTGTTCTCTTCAGAATTTGCTCAGATTCCTTGGATCTGAGCCTATATATTCAATTAGGATATCAGCATATACCAGTATATTATGTATAACACCAAAGTGACCACCAGAAGACTAATGCAAAAGAAAACTCGCATATATAAATTAAAAGGGAGCCTCATCAATTATTTCTGCAGTAGTATACTTTTACATTAAAATGAAGTTTATTTTACAAAATCAGAGTTTGCATTGAATATCCCAAGTAGAACGACAAGACAATAGTTACCTTTTCTAATTCTCTTGGTATTCGCATGCATGTGTACACTCTTTCTCTCCGTTCTGTATACTTTGCTTCATTGTGTTCAAGGAAGTAACCCCTTGTTAGCTCTGCGTTGATGAATCTGAACAGTGAAAGATCTGCAACAACAAAAATACCATTTTAAAACTAAAATTTATTTTAATTAAACCCACTTGAAATGCTCTAGGTTTTCTCTTTTTAAAACATTTATTGCCAACCAAAGTGAAGTTACTTATATCAATGTAATTTGAATCCACTCGGAAAGGCACAGGCTATATGAACAATTTAATTTAAATGATCGATTTGTATGGGTTTCCCTATTAACATTTCATACTGTTGATAAGCAGTAGTGTAGTGTTGTTTAATGTGTAACTACACAGATTATTTACATAGAGATCTTCCAACATTTGTTTGCTATTTGACTTCTACTCTTTCTGTATCATATAAATCTCAAGGCCTTACCACAACACCTCATAGAGTAAGTGACTAATAATCCCAAACTTTTTTACTGCTGTGCCTGTTTCTTATGGGAAACAACAAACCCAAAACTTTCTTTCAACTAGATATTATTTAAAGTTCTTTTTGTTCCTAAGGTACACTGTCTTTTTTCTAAACATAAGCATTTCACTGCTTCATTCCCTCAATGATCTTAACTCACTTCCAAAAAGACTTCCAAGTTTGGGGGGGGGGGGTTCACTTCTCTTACTTATTTTGCAGGCACAAATCCAGCAACTACACATTTACAGACACCAGAAGAGCTGCAAGGCCAAGAACAAGCCACGAGAGTAAGGACAATGATCCACCCAGAGGAAAAGTGTTCTTACCATACATCAAGGGAACCACTGACCGCATAGGGAAGCTGATAAAGAAACACAACCTACAAACCATCTACAGACCCACTAAGAAAATCCAACAAATGCTACATTCAGCAAAGAACAAGAGGGATCCCCTGACTTCTGCAGGAGTCTACTGTATACTATGCAGCTGTGGACAAGTCTACATAGGGACCACCAAACACAGCATTGCTCAAACACAAATCAAGGAACATGAATGGCACTGCAGACTAACTCAACCAGAGAAGTCAGCCATAGCAAAGCACCTGATGAACCAACCTGGACACAGCATATTATTTGAGAACACAGAAATCCTGGACCACTCTTAACAACCACAATGTCAGACTACACAGAAAAACCATTGAAATCCACAAGCATGTGGACAATTTGAACAGAAAGGAGGAAACCATAAAAACTGAAAAATCTGGCAACCAGTATTTTAAAAACCCTCAAAAATCAGGACAGCAAAGAAAGATCAACACTCAGAAAACAGGGGAATTCTAGACAGGAAACAATTAGAGCCAGCTAACAACTCCCAACAAAGGATTCCCCCAGACAGGAATCAGCCAGGCCTTGAAGCTGCAAGGCTTTGCAATGCTAAACAAGGTGATTAATTGCAACATTCACACTACCCTCCAATATACAAGAATTCTTTCTCCCACCCTGGACCTTCCACAGATATATAAACCTCCCTTGCTTAGTTTCCAATATACCTCACAACCTCTGAGGATGCCTGCCATAGATGTGTGTGAAACGTCAATAGGGAATGCTTCTAGAACATGGCCATGCAGCCTGGAAAACTTACAGCAATCCTACATATTTGTTCTTTCTCACATCCAAATTGTCCCAGCCCAGCTAAAAAAATTATCAATCTAATTTTGAAAGCTATCCTTCTACGTGTTATTTGTTGTCTTTACATTGCATGCCTGCACCTCTTGTACCACATGTATGACTAGTACTCCTTTTCTTCCTAGTTGCTAGGATTGAAGTAAGTAGCAGGGATGCTGTCCAGACAGAGAGGAAAAATGGTTACAGTAGCAATTTTGGCTGGAGCTGCATCACAGCTGAAACCCATCACACATAGCATTAGGCAGTGTCATTCTGTTCTTTTCCACCCTTTTGGCTGTCAAGCAGAGTATGCTGCCCCAGAGTGTGGCAAAGTCTGGAGATTTTAAGGCAAAGGCCATCTGTCAGCAGTGCTCCAATTGTATTTTTCTGCATGACAAGAGGTTGGACTGGATGGTCCATGTAGTCTCTTAGGATTCTAACCCCTGCTCACCCTAAACATCACTTGTGGTCTCTCCCACACAGACCTACCCGTAATTATTGATCGGGATTTATCTCTGCTTTGTCTGCGATACAGATTTTTTTGGCTAATAAGCCATTTTAAGCCATTGTTTTGAGTCTCAACTCTATCATAACAAACAGCGAAAAATACAGAGGAACTGCTCATGACAAGGCATGCAATGTTTATGTAAGGTTTCCAAGAAGTTCAATTGTTTTGGATTTTGCACAGTTATGCTACAATATAGCTTTCTCAAAGGGCCACCTTTCTGGCTACTGTTCGGTTCTATCTTCATATAAAACTACAGACACCAGAATACCAATAAATATTGGAACACCTTTGAGATTCACCAGGAGAAAAAAAAATGCAGTGTAAGCATTCAAAGAATCAGTCAATTTCATCAGAAATATGAAATAGGCCAATTTTTTTTATCGTGTCATCAGCAACCAGACCATTGTATTACATTTCTAACTGAACAAAACAAACAAACAGATAAAAAACCCACAAATTTTGCAAACTTGGTAGTTGATTAAATGTCCTTTGACCAATATCTGGCCACTTGGAGTGCCTCTGGTGTTGCCGCAAGGAGGTCCTCCATTGTGCAGGTGGCAGGGCTCAGGTTGCATTGCAGCAGGTGGACAGTGGTCTGCTCTTCTTCGTGCCCGCATGTCATGGATTCCACTTTGTAGCCCCATTTCTTAAGATTGGCTCTGCATCTCATGGTGCCAAGTCTCGTGGTGCCAAGTCGCCCAGTCTTCTGTGTGCCCAGGAGGGAGTCTCTCATCTGGTATCACCCACGGATTGAGGTGCTGGGTTTGAGCCTGACACTTTTGAACTCTCGCTTGCTGAGGTGTTCCAGCGAGTGTCTCTGAAGATCTAAGAAAACTATTTCTTGATTTAAGCCGTTGACGTGCTGGCTGATACCCAAACAAGGGATGAGCTGGAGATGTCACTGCCTTGGTCCTTTCACTACTGGCTGCTACTTCCCGGCGAATGTCAGGTGTTGCAATACCGGCTAAGCAGTGTAATTTCTCCAGTGATGTAGGGCGCAGACACCCTGTGGGACATGGGGGACATAAGAGAAGCCTCCTCGCAGGATTGCAAGACATTCGGGCATCCCCTGGGCAACATCTTTGTAGATAGCTGATTCTCTTGCCTCAGAAGCAACCAGAATAGGCCAATGGTGCATCTACAGTGTAGACTAAATGCAGTTTGACATCACTTTAATTGTTATGGAATGTTGGGATTTGTAGTTTGGTGTGGCACCAGTGCCCTTTGGCAGAGAAGGCTACAGACCTCAAAAACTAGATCTTCCATAATTCAAAAGCGCTGTCAACCTGTGTCAGTGAAAGCATTGTCAAGCCACATTAATTTTACAGTACAAATGCACCCTGCATCTTCAAAAAAGCTACAAACTTTTTCTCCCAATTAAGCCTCAAAGGTGCTACAAGATTCCTTTCACGCTGTACCTCTGAATACGAATATATCAACTTGATGCAGAGGCTTGCTGTCCCAAGGCAATCTCTCTTTGGAGATGCACTCCACCATTCTGTGTCTGCCTCTCAGAGAGGATCAAAACAAATGTTGTTTCAGTTTACCTTTGGACGATGGGGTACTATTTAGGGCGTTTTGTACTTTTTTCAGTTCTACTGTTTCCAGCCCATATTTGATGAGTATATTGACAAGCCTTGGAAAAGTATTTAATTACTGTTTTAATAATATAAATGGAAACACAAACAATTGTTCCTCAGTCATTAAAAGGAGTAAATATCCTACTACTGCAAACCTTGTAACATTTATTACAAGTGTAAATATAATAATCTGCAACACTTTATCCTTTATTCAGAGGGAGGGAAAACTGGAAAGCTCTCAAGTTGTCAGGATCAAATCTAATTAAGCAGTCTGCAGAGAGCTATGCAAAGCCCATGTTGATAGCTGTGGCTGAAACAGAAAACAGGAAACTTAGGGCCCTTCCACACAGCCATATAACCCAGAATATCAAGGCAGAAAATCCCACAATATGTGCTTTGAACTGGGATATATATCCTAGTTAAAAGCAGAAAATGTGGGTTTTTATTCAGCAATGTGGAAGGGCCCTTCGAATCTCAATCCATTCTAGACTTAATTGTAAATTTTAGCAATAGTGGCCAGGATTAGGGAATGTCAACTTTACTCTGTCCGCTAACTGTTGCTAAACTAAATCAACTTCTTTTAAAATAATTTTTATTGTTTTATAGTGTATATAGGAAACAAAACAAATAAACAAAAAAAGAAAGAAAAATGCAAAAGATTTACAAAAGGGTGTACATTCAGTGCTTGTTAAGCATATGAAAAATCAAACTTGGCTGTACAGTTAAATATACCTTAACATTTCTTAACTCTCTACCCCAGGGGTCCTCAAACTAAAGCCCGGGGGCCAGATATGGCCCTCCAAGGTCATTTACCTGGCCCTCGCTCAGGGTCAACCTAAGCACACAACAACAACAATAATCCTATCTCATCAGCCAAAAGCAGGCGAAATACTAATAAGTTTATATTTGGTAAAATTGTTCTTAATTTTAATTATTGTATTGTTTTTACGTGTTTTTTGCACTACAAATATGATACGTGCAGTGTGAATTGGAATTCATTCATGCTTTTTTCAAATTATAATCTGGCCCTCCAACAGTTTGAGGGACTGTGCCCTGGCCCTCTGTTTAAAAAATCTGACAACCTCTGCTCTACCTCCACACCCGTGAACCCCAGCCCATGACCTCTGAAACCCCTCAAAAAAGTATCACACAACTAACTAGCAACTACCCATATATCTTCTTTCGCTGAATACCCTTTATGGCAATCTTTAAGTTTACCTTTGTCTTCTTTTCTACTCAAGTGCCAGCCTCCATTTGTTTTCAAATTCTTCATTATTTCCTCCTCTGCTGCTATTCATCAGCTTGGCCATTTGGATATAATCTACCAATTTATCTCTCCAATCTTTAATAGCTAACTCTTTTTCCCCTTT